AAATTTCTATTAATTTTTTTTTATTTCTCAGCCAATATTGATTCCAAATTATTTCCGCTTTGCTGCTGCTTCTAGCAAAACTTTTCTACAGCTAATTACGCTATTTAAAAAAGAAAGAAAGAGAAAATCAAGTTGATTTTTTACCTTGGAACTTTGCAGCTTTCCGTTACAATTAGTAGCATAAAGTAAGGTGATACGTTGAGTTTAAAACCTTTTGGCTCCTTGCCTTGCAGGACACCCAGGTGGTCCTGCTACCTGCCCGGATAGTTCATGATGCTGTCACGTGACCAGCTCAAACATTGTTAGAAAACTTTGGCAGACAAAAGTCAAAGTCCAAATTGGAGTTTTGTCGTCATCGTTGCTCGAAGTGTTTCCACACCTCCCGTGCACAATTAGAGTAATTAGTGGAACGTTCTTGTTGTTGTCGCTGCTACTACAATTGCTGTTCCTGTTGTTGTTGTTGTTGTTGCTGTTGTTGTGGGTGTTGGTGTTGTAGCAGTGGCTGCCTTTGTTGTTGCTCTCAGCACACATAACATGCAAAGCCATTTTCATGTTTCACATGCACAAGTATTAAACCGCCAACACAATCAGTCGTTCATTTATTTTAGTACACCCTGCATCTGTAATATGTGTGCAAATGGATCGATTGGAAGTGAGATTAAAAAGGACATAGGCATAATTGGAAGACAAGATATATATAAAAACATAATTTGAGAGGAGTTACTAATAATAGCTGAAGTAGTTAGCAAAGAAAAAAAATACCAAAAAGGTTAAAAAATAATATGTAATACTTAAAATATTATTTGCGTATATTTCAAAGTATGTTAAGATTCATTAATCCAATTATCTTAAGTTTATTTGGACTTTTTAGCATAGCCATAGAGAATTTTTGCTTATTTTAAGTCTACTTATACAGAATAAGACGAGTTATCATACTACCAGGACTTAAATGAACTATCTCTGCTTATATAGAATAAGACGAGCTATCATACTACCAAGACTTAAATGAATAGTATTGAGTAAATTTATAGAAAAACTTAACAGTAAAATCAGTGTTAAATTATGGCTTCCAAATTGTTAAATTATTATTGAAGGATCCCAGGTGCTCAATCAACAAATCAGGTGTAGAAATGAAAAGCCCAGGTCTTACGTAGATCTCCAGCTCTATCATATAGCTTTTATCTCAATCAACAAATCAGGTATAGAAATGAAAAGCCAAGGTCTTACGTATATCTCCAACTCTATCATATAGCTTTTATCTCAATCAACAAATCAGTTATAGAAATGAAAAGCCAAGGTCTTATGTAGATCTCCAGCTCTATCATATAGCTTTTATCTCAAGTTCTATATACTCTTTTCACCACATAAACGTATTTAATAATATCTCTCAACACCCCCGCATTATACAGGGTATCTGTTAGTCCAGTGCCGTAGTATAATTTGTTTTATTTATTTTTGTTGTCGTCGCGTGTTTATCATCATCATTGTTGCTGTTGCCTCCGTTGTAGCTGTAGTTGTTGCTGTTGCTGTTGCCTCTGCTCGCTTGTTATTGTTGATTTAACTTGTGACATCGAATCAGAGCTTGGCCCGTAGCTGACCCTAGCTAAGGTTTTCGGGTGCTGTTATGCATTAAATTTGCAATAATCAAATATGTCGCTTGTCGCACAATCAGAATATTTAATTAGTTCATTTATTTGTGGAATTTCGATCAGACAGTTGATTTGCATTTACCTGCCCATGGGAAATTTCAGCTCGCCCTCAATCGATGCGACACCAAAGGCAATTAATAGATACACAAAGATTAACATTGCAGGGAGATTGAATAAAATGCTGTCATTAAATTTATGTTCAGCTTCTTATTTGATAGGCTGAGCGGAAGCTTTAATCAAGCCTTATTTACCTTAATGCCAGCTAAATAAATCAAACACTTAATGCCAAAGCTGGCAGAGGGATTTCGAATTGCAGCCTTTGCAGTATCAATTAAAATCATTTTACAGTCATTGCACACGCACACAAACAGTCAGGTAAGTTCTACTTATTTTCACACCTAATTTACTTAGCAAACGCATTAAACCAAATTCGTCTTTGGAAACGTTTCAATTTGTGTTGCTCGAGGTTCAGGTCCAGGTGGAGCCAAAAGGACCAGCTGCTGCACTATGGATCTAATTAGAAGCACAAAAGCAGCTTCTGTAATGGCAATGAGGCGGTGCGATGCGATTCGAGGCGATGCGATGGGATGAGACGAGATGAGATGAGCCTGGCCCGCATCTAAGCGCATTAAGTATGCGCCTCGTGCGCCAATTAAGTTGAGTCAGCGGCCAAGCTGGATGCCGCGTGGTTAGCTCCACATTTTTTCATCAAGCCGCTTACAATGCAATTAACCTTTTCGCCACGCAGTCGCTTACCGTTCGTAAGTCGCTTAATTAGTGTGGATTTCAAGTACGAAACGAAGTTTAACTTAAGCCACAAAGAGCATTGGGTAGAAAATCGAAAACATCTTCCGATGTGCCAGGAAAGAAAACACAAAAATAAAGCACAAAATGACCACCCACAGCCTGCACAGTTTGCTTTATCAATTAATTATTAGTTGGAATTATTATCAAAGCATATTTCATTCGCCTTTCTCGTTGGTTGATTAAAAGCAAGTTGCTCTATTATATGCTACCTGATGCTCATTATTGGCATTTACCTATCAATTTATCCTAACTAATGAGCTAGATATGTTCTGTAAATTAAGTACAATTAACTTTAGCTTCACATTAGTTTTAAGGCATAACGGCATAATTAGTATATTGCCTTATGTGAGGCATATACCTCATAGAGCAGCGGCCAGAGTGAGGGTATAGCAGAGCGACAGTAGCGAGCAACAACGACAAAGTGCAGCGAAGCAGCAGCGTAGAGCAGCAGCAAAGAGCAACGGCAATACGGACAGCAGTGCTCAGCAACAGCACAAACGACCAAAGCATTGAACAACTACAACTACAAGACGAAGAACGGCATCCAGAGAAGACGCGGACAACCGAAAGAGGATTAACGGCGACCAACACAAGCTAAGCGAGCGCATAGGAGCAATACATATCAGCGCGCAGTTGAGAGAAAGCGCAGAGCACAGAAACAAAGCATAGAAGTGAGCGCATAACAGCGCACAGCCGAGAGCGCAGCTGTGTTGCCAGCTTAGCCTATTTCAAGCTAGATCTAGCCTATTTGTGAATGATCTAGCCTATTAAGAGTAAGTTCATTGAAAATGAGAACGATAGCCAGATATTTCTGGTAGATATCACAGTCCTTTATATTTCTGTCTGCATATTTGCCTCTCTGTCTGTCTCCCTTTCCCAGTCACAGTCTGTCTATTACATAAGATCAGTTAAGTATATTTGGGGAAAACAAAGTTAGATTACAGCAGCAGAGAGTGTTCCCATTAGTCACTCAAAGCACGAACACCACGACCTCTACCTGCCGTCAGGCTTAACATTTAAGAGCAACTTAGGCTCTAAGTGAAAGTCGCCCTATATAAAGGCCAGCATCTTCAGCATTTCTTCAGTCGTTCAGGACTGGTGGGGTCAGTCGTGCAGTGCCGTAAAGTGAAGTGAAGTGAAATGTGTTCAAATATTTAGTGATCTTCAGCTAAGCATTAGAGACGTAAAGGATGAATTTACAAGAAATTTCTGGAGGAAATACTTAAATGAATTTCTTCAAATAATACGTAGAGGAAACAAGAAGCAGTTTTGAACTATTATTCATCGACTGCTCGGACACGGACTCGACTTATATACTTTCTGCGACATTATGGGAGTCAGCAAAGAGAGGACAACGCTCTATTATATGTATGAATTATTATGTACTGAAATATATGTATGTATATATTCTTTGACGTATACGCTCCAAATATATTTTCACTTATATATGTACATATACGTAATTCAAGCAATATATACATATATATAAATATATTTTATTAGGCTAATGCTCTTCATTTTTTCATTTTTTTTTCGCATCACAAGAATCGGAATTGAGCGTCGAGAACGCCGCAATTGCTAAAATTGAGAGCTAATCAGGCTATGATATTAAGTCCGTATCCGAAACCTAGCAACCCACTCAGCCGAAGTGCGGTTAACGTCCGATTGCTGTCTGGCTGCTATGGCAGGAAAGTTCTAAGAATTGGCCTAGATGATAGCCTTAAATATTAATTTGTCAGATGACTCGTCTGTATTTCGATGATTTCAAATGCAATTAGTAAATTCGAATATTAAGAGATTTCGCAAAATCTTTATCCACATTGTGCGCCCCTTTCAAGGAGATCATGAATTGAGCTTATTGCATTGCCAGAAGCACTCCACTCGATTGCGAAAGTTTCTGTGCCCTAACACCGAGAAGCCATTTAATAAATTGAACTACATTTTGTCACAGAATTTTTTGGTACTTCGAATTGCATTTGTATGAATGCAAGCAAAATAATGCGAAATCCGTGAACAAATATTGTCTACATACATATGTATGTATGTATATATAGGTTTTATTTTCATTCACTATGAAATTGATTTTGCTTCGTCTCTTTTATACGTACATAATTGAGTTCAAAGGACAGCAATGGTCATATTATAAAAAAATTAGATACTTCAAGACATTTCTTTAATACTAATTACATTTAAAGTTAATAAAAAATATATACATATGTACATACATATACATATATACATATTTGCCTTATCTTCCTTTAATAATTACAAACTATCGAAAGTCTCAATGACAGTAATTGTAAAATGTATAGGCCATCACTAATTTTTGCTTTGATTAGATCCCGTTCATTTTACATGTGTTTTTTGCTGTTTTGTTTTGCTTTTTTAATTTTGCCATTTGTAGTAATTGGAAAAAAATATAAAGGTATGCTGCGTGAGAGTTTATTATATTGCAGTTGGTATATTTAATGTGTTACACATTGATTCGCAATAGCATCAAAAACTAAACGTAACTATAAATCTGGTATTACAAAATTTTATATAAAATCGCCTTTGTTTACCATTATTAAACGGCTGATAGTTATTGAAGCGCTGCCACCTTTTTTGAATTTAAAAGCATGTCACTTTGCTCTTGAATCGAATTTTATTTGTGCAGATTAAGAAGACTAAGAACACAATGGATGATGATACGACCAATTCCGAAGACATCAATAATACCAGCACTGAATCTTTCGCTACAGCTGATAGTAGGGAGCAAAATTATGTTAAAACGAGATGCCTGCAGCCGCAGGAAGTGTTGTCCCTGGATCAAAAATTGAACCGCATTATTGTTATCCAGCAAACGGACCAATCCTATCATCAGGCGTTAGAAGACATACGCGACCAAACTATAATTTCAATATTGGTGGAGCCCAGTTTCTATGGCCGACACTGTAAAACATCTGTGATTGTAATTGCCACGGCGAATAACACTTATGTATTTGATCTAAAAGCCCTCGGTGTCATTTTTCCCGAACTGTGTCTTCTGCTGGAAGCGGAATATCCCAGGAAAATATTGCACTATAGTCATCGAATATGTGATCTTCTGTTGCATCAGCACAAGCTAATAATAAATGGAATTTGTGACACGTTTGTTGCCTTGTGCGTGGCTCGACAGGATCGAAGCCATTGCTCCTTGCAGGATGCTATTGCGATAGTTTTGGAAATATCGCCAACTGAGCTAACGTGTCATGAGATAACGAGCGTAAGACATATCTATATGGGCGATTCTTTATAATTTGATTAAATCTTATTTTTAATGCAGGCTAACGAATCGGTTCGGACCTTTACAGCACGTCCACTGTCCAAAGGGCAACTCCGGTATCTGGCTAAGCTCGCCATATTACAACACAGGCTACACGACACTCTTATCTACGGAAATATTTGCAGCGGTCTGCTAGAAATGTCAGGGAAATTCAGCTGTGAATTTAACAAACAAAGAAAATCCGATGAAGTGGCGATGAAAATGCATCCAGGTAGCACAGCTGGCTTTGACTGCATAAATCCATACTACAAAATATCTACATCAATAGAGTAGATTCTATTGTATTCGTATTGGCATGAAGCATACAAATGCATGCATCACATTCCTTATAGTTAAAAGAATATAATTAATTATGTTAATAGAACATTAATAGCACTAGTACGAAAGAAATAGTCGAGAGTGCACGGCTGGGAGATACCCTGAACCCTGTAGGATCTATACGATATTCTAAAAATACAAATCATTTTCAATGAGCTCAGGTTATAAAACTTGATATTTATTGCGAAAATACATTAATAATTGACAAATAATAATATAGTGCTTTCTTGAAATAAAATATTCCACTTTTAACATAATAACTTATGACATAAGAGATAGTCAAATTTAATTGTTTCGCTTGTAGATTTTTAATACTTATATTAAATTATAATATAAAATTGCACAAGCCTTAATTTTGAATTTTGTGTACTTTTATTAAAATACTGAAACGGTTCAATTTAAATCGACGAGTAAATTGTATCGCCGATGGAACGATACATCGCACAGCCACCAAGCATCGATACACAATGTGGGACGTTTGTGTATCACTATTACGAACAACCGCGACCGGTCCGCACGTGTAGTGAATCTTCACTTACAGTTATCAATTAAGTTTTAGATATTTAACGCAGCCCAGTTTTGCATTTAATAACATACGAAATGGTGAGTACATTGCTAAGTTTGATTTGATTCCGTTTACCACCAGTGGACATCAAAATATTCCATCTGCGCTTCTCGAAGTTTCCACATATGCTGATAACTCATTCGCCTTGCCGGGTTGTTGTGTAACTCTGCTCTGTCGCAGCTTTTAGGCAGCAGGGGGGAATAATGTCTGACATCAATTACCATGGATTGCACAGTAAATGAACTTATTTACAAATGTTTTTAGGCAGCCGCAATCAAGAAAATCATCCCCATGCTGGATCGTATTTTGATTCAACGCGCTGAAGCTGTTACCAAAACGAAAGGTGGCATTGTCTTGCCTGAAAAATCGGTGGGCAAAGTTCTAGAGGGCACTGTAATTGCCGTTGGTCCCGGCACTCGCAATACTGTAAGTATTTCATTGTTGGATGCGATGATTACAACAGTTTTTTTTTACATTGGTTATCAACTTTGAATTTTTTATAGACCACTGGCAGTCATATTCCAATTGGCGTGAAGGAAGGTGACCGCGTTTTGCTGCCCGAATTTGGCGGCACCAAGGTCCAATTGGATAGCGACGATAAGAAGGAAATGTTCCTTTTCCGCGAATCAGATATATTGGCTAAGTTGGAATAGATGACCCATAACAATTCTATGAATTCTGTTTTCTATTAGTACGTAATTACCTACAATAAAAGTCCTATGCAATGTTTATGTTTGCATAACATAAAAAAATAAAGCTTGAAAACTGCAGTGTTAACATATAAAAACTATATTTGCATCTAGAGACTTAAATCTAATCCAGTTTTAGGTTATTCAATCCATAGACCTGGTTAAAAGCGGACCTTCGTTTAATGTCGGGGTAGCCTTCGACAGCAGCACGTTCCCGAGAAATATTGACCAAAGCCTCAAACGAGCGTGGCTCCCAAATAGCCAATTCCGACAATATTTTTCTATAAGTTAAAATTTGAAACTATTAATAATCAGGCAAATAATGCATTAACCGGCAACTGACTTGTTTAGCAATATATCAGAACGTGCAAGGCCCTCCTTGAAGGCGTCTAAAGGAACTCCATACTGTTGGCAACCGGCTTCAACACGCGTTGTCCACAGCTGTGCCATATCCAGTTTCTTGAGCTTACGCCCCTTGGTTGCATAGGCGAGGGCACGATGTACGCTGCGTATGGCAAAGGTGTAAACATTCCGTGTTCGACTGCGATAATGCTAATTAACAACAGGATTGATAACTAGTTAAATTAACGTTTTTAAATAGTATTCTTATACTTACCGCCGCGAGCTTAAAGATGCGCCTTTTCCGCCAGAATTCATCAGGGCCGCGGGCCCTTACCATCAGAGGAAGATTTAAGAATACCATAGCAAAGTCTTATTAACAATATGTGCAGCAATCCTTTCTATTTTCATTAACAATTTTATAAATTTACATAACCTGCACACACCTATCGAAATTTGTTTTGCACGCGCAGCTGACGGCCGATAAGTTATACATCGCATTGTTAACTATCGATGACAACCATCAAGCCATAGGATAATCAAAGAAGGTTAAACAAAATTTGATATTCAATGCATAGACAATAACATCGAAGGGAACCTCTTTTGAGGAATAACACTGAAATTAGAACGCAATATATTCCGAAAAAATACATACAACCAATTGACTTGTAAGGTTAATGAACCTTAAAAATATTTGAGCTATGAATTTCAGCGCTTGCATACCTTATGACGTCTTACGCTCAATAATGCAGTGTAACCTTCTAATTTTCTTAACATTTGCTATTGACACACACAGCTGCTGCCGGTTTTAGAATATTTATTTACACTTCTGCAAATGCTACAAAAAATCAAAATTTCAATGTGATTTGTACAGAGAATTACATAAAAGCACATTTTATTGCATTATAATGTGCGCAATGAATTCACGGTCCTCGGCAGGAGCCCGCTGCCATCTATGTCCCGAGGGCCGGATCAGTTTATATTGTTTTCTTGCGACGGCAGGTCTGGTGCTGTTGCCCTCAGTACCGCAGATCTACTATGAAATTGTGCCAAATGTATGGGGTGCCATCTTGTGGGGTCCAGTGCTATATTACGCCCTGATCAACTTAATTATTCGGTTTGTCCTCCGAAACATGGAATATCAGGTATTTTGCATGACTCACTTTTCCATTGCATAAAAGTACGAACATATCTCAATCTGATTATTTTATCAACAAGGTTGCAATACGCGCCTCTTTTCTTGGCTTCGTGATGGCGGCGAGCGTACTAGTCGTTTGTTTCGCGCCCGCACCATGGCAGCAATTTGGCGTCTATGGCTGCTTTATGGCTTTCTTCCATTACTCGGAGTTTTTGGTTATTGCGGTGGCAAATCCTCGAACACTCTCACTGGATTCCTTCATGCTGAACCATTCAGTGCATTATGGTTTGGCCGCAGCAGCCAGTTGGATTGAGTTTGGTCTAGAGCTTCACTTTCTGCCCGATTTCAAGCGATACGCCCACATTTGGTTGGTGGGCGTGGCACTATGCACTTTCGGCGAGATTGTGCGAAAGACGGCAATCATCACAGCAGGTCGCAGTTTTACTCATTTAGTAAGTACATGCTTATCTCCAGTTAAATGCCTATTTGTAATCTAATGTGTACTCGAATAGGTTCAGGATGAGAAGCACTCTGATCATAAGCTGATAACCCACGGCGTATACGCGTACAGCCGGCATCCGTCCTATGTGGGCTGGTTCTATTGGTCAATTGGCACGCAATTAATCTTGATGAACCCGCTGTGCATCTGCATTTATGCATTAGTCAGCTGGCTCTTCTTTCACGATCGCATATACGTTGAGGAGTATTCGCTGCTCTACTTCTTTCAATCTGACTACGCACGGTATCAGAAGCAAGTGCCAACGGGGCTGCCCTTCATCAAAGGCTATCTGATTGACTAGGAATTATATATACGGGATCAAATGTCATCCACACAAATGCAAATGCAAAGCAAACAAATATAATTTTAGTATTTTCCCCTTTTGAAATTTGGGCACAGAGCAACAATAGATATAGTGACGAACCTTTTTCAATTATTATCGAGTCTATTTGTATTGTGTCTCAAAATGTAAAAGTACAAGAATGTATTTAAGCGTTATTGTTTATTATCTTTTTGTATTTTGCAGCAACGAAATAAATTTAGAATTGTGAATAAGGTAATGCATTCAGTTATCTATATATTTGAAAAGTCTTTTCTTCAGTAGCTTGCAGTGTTTTTATAGCTTGGTTATAATCCCTGATTCATTGTACGTGAATGATAAACCAGAAATAGGCTTATCAACAGGTTGTACAAACCTGAACGACATAAATTAGCTTGCTATGATGTGATATATTACATTAAAAAAAATAAAAATAAATAAATGAATAAACAATGATAATTGAGCACACTCGACGCTTCGTAGCGTTTGTGTCGTATCTAATCTGCCGCTGATTCAATTGTTAAATAAAGCCAAACTCATAAAACGCACAAAACGCTGCGAATGTAACAAAACACAAAAGGGATGCAAACGAAAGACGAGACATTGCCGTAAGAAACAAGCTTAAGCAATTATTATCAATTATGATTTCTTAGGGGTCATTTAAAGGTCAGCTCAGCAATCAACGGTTAAATAGGATTTGTTAGTTTTCTGGGCTTTTGTTATTTTATTATCAATTTAAATTCGAATATTGCTCTAACATTGTATATAAACGACAAGGCCGTGCATAATTCACATGTTCGTTGCCAACTGTGTTTGTCTTTGTGGGTGTGTGTGTGTTTGTGTGTGTATACATAATATGTACAAATAATTAATAGTGTTAACAATATTTTCTTAGTCACGTTTAGAACTTATTTGCATTAGTTGCAAATAGATTTGCGCCATGCTTGATGCCTCTTACAGGCTTATCTGCGAGTGCTCGTTGTATCTGTGTGTGTGTGTGTGCTTGTGTCTGTGTGAATCCGGTGTGTCTTTACTCATTAAACTCCGGCTCACCGGAGTATGTGCAGCCCGGATTTTTGATAATGTGACCCGCCGCATAGTTGCCACAGCGTATGCAAACATCGAGCGACTTGCCCTGCACATACTGGGCGAGGAAACCACCAACGAATGCATCCCCAGCGCCATTGGTATCTACAATTTCATGGACCGCCAAACGTGTGACTGGGAACTCCTGGACCTTGTCGTGCTGGATGAGCAGCACAGGGTCACAGCCCTGCGTGAGTATGGCAATGCGTGGTCGCTCTGAATTGATTTTGGGCAGTGCCACCAATCGTTTGCCAATCTCACGCAGATCCAAATCGGCGGGCCAGCCTTGCGCCGTGGCAAAGGCATGGGCCTCTGCCTCATTGCCAAAAATGATATCCACATAAGGCATAACAGCCAGTAGCGGTTCCATGAAGTATTGCGATATGAATGGTGCGCTGAGGTTCATTAGGAACGGCCGCTGCTTGGCATTGGCTGTGGCGGCTACGCGCATTATACTGGGCGGATTGACGGTCAAGAAGAAGCCCTGTACACAAGGATTACACAATAGATTAATCAGTAAGTATGCCAGATTATGAGGATTGTTTACCCACCGAGATATAATAGTATTGAGCATTATCGATCAACGCCTTATTAGCTGGCTGTTCCAGGTGATCAATGGTGAATTTGTTGGCGGCCGCCAGGTTGGCGCACAATGAACGATGCGTGCCCGTGATGAGAACCGCGCATGTTCCCGTGGGCGTGTCTGGGCTCACTTGATAATGGGCATCGACGCCAGCAGCGCGCGCCTTTTCCCGCAATATATCCGCATAATCGTCCTGGCCCACACAGCCAAAGAAGACAGCAACATTTGGCTGACGCAATATCCACTGTGCTATGCGCAGGGAATTCTGCACTGAGCCACCGGCCAGGTACTCCGCTTGATAGCCCTCGACCAGCTGACGGTAAATGGGCATGTGTCGTTCCTCTGCCAATATGGCATCATCCACATTCATGCCATAGTCCTCCAGGAATTTCAAGGGGACAGGAGCCGAAATGTCCAGCAGGGGATTGCCACATCCTACCAGGATGCCTTCTCTGTGAATGAAATCGAATTCAAAGGGATTAGGCTACAGTTGATGGTGCGCTTTAGAGATACGCAACCTCGCGCCGCTTTTGTTGCTCATGTTGTCCAGCCGAGGGCGTGTCGTTAACTAGCAATTGAAAGCGAGTCCAACATCAACGCTTGCCGCTTCAATATTCATACTCAGTATCAGTTGCCGATGAACCTAAGCGATAGCCCCCAAATAAAGCTACAGTGGGGGCTAAATTGATGTGCACACTGCTATTGATACTGAACAACTACCGAATAATATTAGAATATATTGTGTGTAATGTGTCGGGAGCTATGCTATATTATTAGAGATCATCCAAATACATATGTTTGTATATTTGTACATTTTCTGTCGAATATCGATATTAACTTCAGCTTGGATGCATTTTCTGGTTGCCAGTGTTGTTTACGCTGTACATTGTTGTATTTGTTTAGAAGAATGTTTCTTATCAGAACGAGGCATGCCTTGGCAAATATTAGTGAAATTCATTCATACAGAAATTCCAATTGGATCAAAGGTACATGTACCCAATTCAGATAACATAAAGCATACAAATAAACGACGACACTAACTAGAGAGTTAGCCAATGGCACACGATCTTCACATGTTGCCGTAAATTTCGACAATTAGACACACGAATCAACACGAACACGTGGAGCGTTTATAGACATTCATAAGCCTCAACAAAGTGTTGCGGGCTGAGGGCAGCCGGGGCCGATTCACTCAACTTACTGTAGTTTGCTTGTCATTTTGTTGTTATTGTTGTTGAGGGTGCTGTGATGTTGCCCGTCGGCTTATGTAAACATAAACACGTTATTGAACTTGGAAGCTGGAGCTTACTGTTGATTTTATATCACTATATAACCTATGACTTAGTTTAATTAGACTTATTAGGAGCTATTTTTAGCGTTGTTAGCGAGATAGCGGAGCTGCTTGGCTCCAAAGATTTTGGGCGCAAAATGGCACAAAAACCAACCGTTGATAATATGCTAAAAAATACCCAGTTCATTACGATCAAAATTGTCGTATTTTTCTATTGCACCAATTTTTGCATATTTATATTATGTTATATTTACCGGTATAGTAACAAGTTAATATGAATAATAAAAAAAAATAGTTTTGAGTAAAGATGTCGGCTATTAAAAGAGGAAAGTTTTAAATTCATTCAGTCTAGCAATTCAAAAGGAATGGGTGCGTCGTGTGTCTTATAGCTTTTAGCTTTTGAATGCCATTTACAGTAAACAGCTGATATCGATATGTCAAAACATCACTATTGCCAAAAACATGAAGTTGGCTGCAACGCGGCTCGGCTCTCTTTCTTTCCGGTTGTCAAATAGGTACGAAAGCGTATTAATTTTGTGCTGAAGTCGCTACGAAGAATTCAATTTACAATTATGTACGGCATCATATCTAATAATAATTTTATTGATATCATTTACAGTGCAGTGCAGCCTCAACCTTTCAGATATGGCCGACGTTGATGTGTAAGTGCAGAATAAAATAAAATTTGAAATTGAATATGTTTCACTATGATGAAATTAATTGGTCCGTGTTTATGAATTTTACATTGATTTGAAACCTTCCAATTACTGAGCAAGTGCCTTGAAATAAGTTTTGAGCTAGAAACTCTGTGATAACTTGTAGATTTGATTGTTAATTTGAAATATTTTCTTTATTTGCGGCAGAGATGTGCCCTCCGCAGCGCCCGTTCTTGGCGGCGCCATGGACATAAACACCGCGCTACAGGAAGTGCTGAAGAAGTCGCTGATCGCCGATGGACTCGTCCATGGCATCCACCAGGCCTGCAAGGCTTTGGACAAGTAAGCAAAAACGATTTACAAGTTTTGTTGTTTAGTTTTTTGCTGATGAAATTAATTGGTCCGTGTTTATGAATTTTACATTGATTATCAATTCTTCCAATTACTGAAAAACGCCTTAGACTCAGTCAATATATACAGGAATTATTGTAAACCATTATAATTAACTTTTCGTTTTTGTTTTTCAGGCGTCAAGCTGTCCTCTGCATTCTGGCCGAATCCTTTGATGAGCCCAACTACAAGAAATTGATCACTGCCTTGTGCAATGAGCATCAGATTCCACTGATCCGCGTCGATTCGCACAAGAAATTGGGCGAATGGTCCGGCCTGTGCAAGATCGACAAGGAGGGCAAGCCCCGCAAGGTCTGCGGCTGCTCTGTTGTCGTCATCAAGGACTACGGTGAGGAGACGCCCGCATTGGATGTAGTTAAGGACCATCTCAGACAGAACAGTTAAACATGTTGCCATTGCTGTTCCCCTGTCTGCTGAATGAGAGACTACCTGGCAAATTTTTTATTGCTAAATAAAAACTAAAACTTAACGAAAAACCAACATTCACAATCAAACAATGGAGGCGTTCACAATTTTTGGAATGCTCTTTATTTAATAATTAATATTAAAAATACAAATGAATTGATAAAGGCTAATCGACGCAGCTCAAGCAGATTTCCTTATGCTGTGGCCAATCCTTGAGCTGGCATTCTCTGCAATTTAAAGGAAATTGAATTGTGTAAATTCGCGCACAAATCTGTGTAATATTTGGAACGCACCGTGAACAATAGTGAACCAGCTTGCAGTTGGCGCACTTCTTTTTGGCCGGCACCTGGCAATTGCCGCACTTGTGAGTCTTTTCCTCCGAGTCCTCGCTGGTGGTAGCTGTTGCGCTGTCCTCTGATTTAGATTCATCCTTCTTCAGTTCCAAGTCTGCCATGTGCTGCTCCAACTCACACAGTAGTTCGGTACCGTAGGCATTGGTCAGCTTGGTAGCCAGTGCACAGATCTCTTCGCGATTGTTGTTGAGGAAGACGCCATCCTGGTTCTGGGCAACCTGGTAGAAGCCGCCGTCACGCTCCACCTCTTTGATGAGATTGTCCTGTATCTGCGGCATGTCCTCCAAAATCAAGTTTTGAGTCTTTTTGCCGGTAGTGCCGGTAATGGTCAAGCGACTGACAAAGTGCTTGAGTTCCATCAGCACGGGCAACTGATCCAAGAGCGTCTCGTGTAGCATGCCCAGAAGCTGTGGTAAAGTTTATTTAGAAAGGATTCAAGAATCATAGTCAATTTCACCTTTGATATTTGCTTGCAACGCGCCTCGTTCAGGGGATAGTTATCGGCTATCTGGGGAGAGAGCAGCAGCTGGCGAACACAGAACCAGGCCTGGGCTTCCGGCTTTATGATTTTAGTGGCATCCTCCACCGAAGTCCACTTTTCATCAATGTACTTCTCCAAGCCCTTGCTGGTGTTGCGCTGCCAGGGCCTGAAGCAAAGCACATCCACCATCAGCCAGGGTACATCATGGGTGGTCAGCATTCGACGAGCTGCGCCCAAGTGGAAGAGAGACACGTTGTCGGCCAGGTAGCTGAGAAGGGACACGCAACGCAGTCCAATCTTGTAGATGAGATCGCGCTTCTGGCGCTCGAGCTCTGTGAGCACGGCTTCGTCCACATCTACTTTGGTCTCGTTCTCGTGATAGCCCATGCTGACCAAGCCGATGACCTGGGCGACACCTTGAGCCGCATAGTCGATCAGATCTAGCACCGAGTCCTGCAGTGACTCACAGCCACTGGGATGGTAGAGGCACAGATCCAGCAGTGCCACCACTGCCGCCTCATGGTACAGCACCGTGTAAATCAGGAACGTGGCCTGTGGATTCGGATCAATTTCCAGCAAATGAGGCAGCACGCGCGACTTCCAGAGATTCACGCAATAGGCCTCATTGATAAGCACCGACAGCTTGTCCCGGGAAATGAGAAACTCCTTGACTTCCTCCTCTCGCTGCTCGGCCACCTCCAGAGCCGCCTGCTGGCTCAGCTTGATGATCATTTCGTGCACTTCCAGCCACTTGTTGCTGCCCACATCGCGCACCTGGAAGCAGCGAATGCTCTCCACAAATAAGTACAGCTCCTCGGGATATACAAAGTTTACCATGTTTAAAGATTTTTAAAATTATTTAGCTGAATTACTAAACTATTCACTTCTCAAGAAGATCGTCGAGTAAAAATGATGTGGATAATACCTCAAATAAACAAATTTCCTGTTGTCATAGACACTAAACTAGCCTGGGTTGCTAGGTTCCTCCTGGGGGGGTTAAATATATGGGATAGGTAAATAAAAGGCAACTTCATTTCAACATTTTGTACATTCAGATTCTATTTGAAATAAAATAACTGTATAATAATTGGTTGAAATTAAATTTCACATCGTTTGGGCTAAGTTAGCCTAAGCACACGCTTCGCAGTTAGTTAATAATACTCGTTATATAGCGTATATACATCATATAAATATACATATATAATTAGAGTTCTATGGAATAAAATCTAAGTGTCTTTGACTACAAATTGTAAATTGTTTACTCGCCAGGACTTTGGGTTCAACAGTTTACATTAAGGCTCCAGGCCACATTTCGTAAGTTAAGCGGCAAACAGATACTATACACATAAGCGATATAATCACACGTTTTAGTAAGTTTAAAGCTGAAAGCGAACAGTCTAACGATATAATTTAACTTGTTGCTTCAGCTCGCGATCGCTGATGCGATCCTTGAGATTCAGTTCATCCTCCTGTTTGCGCAGCAGCTCGAAAATGGCCGCCAATTGCTCGCGCTCAATGCGTCGCTCTTCTTCTATTTGGCTGGGCGAGAGATTCTTTTCCAGCTTGTGCTGGTAGCGCTTGGCCTTGAATTTGCCCACCAGGTTGCTGTAGTTGGGCGCCTTTCCTGGTCCCAGCTCCGTGTCGCTCTCGCTCATCGGCTCCTGCTCTTCCTCGTACGCCTCGTCATCATCGATCTCGCTTTGCAGGCGCGCTTGCATCTGTGCCTTCAACACGGGATCGTCCTCCAAACGAACTTCGTCAGCGCCAAGGCCTTCGTCCTCCAGGTCCTGCATTGAGTATATGAATTATGATTCTGAGGGGTTGGCTTGTTACAATTCTTTACTCACGGCATCGTCCTTTAAGAAGTTGGCGAAATAAAGCGCTATTAGAATACATAACAGCAGAGTGGTTAGGGCCACCACATAGTAGCCCGAAAGATCAAACCACATGTCCATTATAATTGCCCAGTTTTGGTGTTTATATTTTACTGCGATTGCAAGATTTTTGTTTTGATGACTTCCACAACAGGAATGTGACCAGCTCTCAAACTGATTCAAATACTAATTTACTTTATAAATACCGAATGGTGAATTTATTCAAGGCCGTTAACGTTAAAAATTTAATTGAAACATTTATTAGAAACAAGAAAATCGAAATAGAATTTATATTTTATTTTTATATTAATTTAACATTTATACAACTACTGTTTAATTAAATATATAATTTTTTTTTTCAATAAAAAAAAAAAAGATAGAAATGCTTATCATTGATATATAAAATTGTACATTTATCTTGACGATAATATATATAAGATATTTTGGTTATATTGCTGGCTCATCGAAACATCCGCTCTGGAACATTACTTATTGTAGTCGCCGTTGTGTTTTAAATATTGTTCGGGGCTCTGCAAGAAGGCTTCCAAAAACTCTGTGCCCTTTGGCAAAAATCGAATCTTCTCATCGAATTGATGCAGCGGCGGCTGCAAAATATCCTCAAATGAGATCTCCTGGACATTACCAATTTGAATGCTAAAATGGATTCTCTCTGTGCGAGCATACGCCTCATCCTCTTTCTTTACTGATCTGCGCACAGTTTTTCTCACAATAATCCGATTGGAATCACTAATAATAGAAATATATAATTAATTAAGTAAATTATTTATGAAAATGTCGACTTTTACCTGATTAGGCGCGCATTAGCCGTGATTATGGTTAAGAGCATTTTCCTGCATATGTTAGTGATCTTCAAACAAACTCCATCGATGTGTTTTAGAAATTTGACAAGATCTGCCACATCATTGCCGTCCAACAGCCGATCCAGATTCAGAGGCAGATTAAGTTTAAGTTGAAAATCCAACAGCTCAGCAAACGCAGTCTTTAAAGCTAAACAGAAATTTAAAATTTAAGGTTGAACCAAATCGGAATGCCTAGGGTTAACACTTACGTGAGGGGGGTGCGTATTTTGACTCTAGTTGAATTTTGCCTACGCGTATTTTGGTTTCCAACAAGTCCAACGGCTCATAATTCATATAGATTTTAAATGTGGTTATTTTACGATGGGAGAATATATAGGTACGATAGATTTGCAGATTTGAATCAAAAATCCAGTTAGGCAGCTCAGCATGCAATGAGGTTTTTAGGCACTTTGCAAACGTTTCCGCTGGCTTGGGCTTGGGTAAGCTTTGTACGTATCTGAAAGAGAAAAAGAGATAAATAATATAAGATTTTTTCATTCTTTTGCAATTTTATTTTATTTTACTTACTCCTCCCACTTGCTGTTGAACATCTCCTGCATTTGCGGCAAGTTCAAGCGACTTGTGTTACGTGAATCGCAGTCCGTTTCCGTCTCCTCGTCTTCGTCATTATCGAAATTATTTTCCAGTTTCTTGAGCTCCCAATATTTGTGCACGTCCGATATGCGTGGCTTTTGTCGCAGACGCTTTAGACGCTCAAGTTGTACGCCCAGGTCCGGCCAGGCCGGCAGCTCAAATGTCTCTTCAGCACTTCTACGCGTCCTCGTTCTGTCCATTGAACGCCGGCAATGCTTGCACTTCTTGCACGCATCCTCAGCTCCAGCCACGACTGGCGGGTCGAGCTGCCCAAGGCATGTCTCGTTGTTCACCAAGTCAATGTGGCTGCTGTTAGCTGCTCGGATATGTTCGTCGTCCGCCTCGTCCAGCAAGGTCGACACCAGACTGAGTCGTGTCTTGTCGATTTCACAATTGTCCGACTTATCGCTAAGATCATCCATATTGTTAAAGATTATGGTATCGCCACTTAGGTTTATGAACTTCTTATGGGCCGTGGCATAGCTCTTATTGCTGTGCTCATTCGAGCTGCGACTCTCAATGGACGTCTCCTTGGCTTGCTGGCGCTGCTCAGCTAAGCTCTTGGCCAGCTCTCGCTGTGACTTGAAATGGTTCGAGACATCAGATATGGTAATGGGATTATCTTCATACACAGTTGTTTCCTTGTTCATTTTGTGCTCAGTAAAGTGTGGAATTGTCATTCCTTGGCTACCCGTTTGCCGCATCATTTGTGCTCTAACCATCTGCACGGTGCCGTCCAGCTGCTCCGTTTCACGCCAAGGCGAGTTCAAGCTCTTGCACAAGACAGGAATGCGTGACTTATTCCTTGGATGTTCCAATGCCTCCACCTCTGATGTTTCCAGTTCAGGCTGCGAGCTAATTAAAATAAAATACACAAATGAGATCCCATTGCTGTCTAGGCGAAGATAGCACTTACATATTCTCCTCCTCCATGTCAAGATGCAGATGCAGGTTGCGCTTCTTCGGTTCCGGCAAATTGGGTGTCAAATGTATTGGCAGGCGTTTCACATTGAACGAAGGTTTCCTCTCGGGCGTGCCGTAGTTGGATGTGTCCATGTCGAGCTCCATGTCCATCGCTTGGTATATGGATCGGCAAGCAGTTTTTCCAGCTGGAGTCTTGATCTTGCAATCCTCCTCCAAGTCTTCAAATTCAATCATCGATCGACCCGGTGTGAGGGCAAACATCTGACGCTTCTTCTTCATTTCAGGCGTTTCGAAACTGGAGCTGATGAAAACGTTTTCTTTATCCAGAGTTTTGCGTAGCAGATCGTTCTTCAGTAAAGCTTCCCTCAGTTTGGGCTTGGGTCTGCTGGAGCGCTGCTCAGGGAACTCCACATTCGACAGCTCCACATCCATGGCTTCCTCCTGGTATTGTGTCTTCCTAGATTTGCTTCCCCACGGCTGGCTCTGGGCAGCCGCCTTTGATGATTTGAATTCGTCAAGGGCTTCACTTAGATCTAACGTCTGGCTGGGCAGCTGCTTGGCGTTGTTGTCTTTCTTTGCATTTACTTTATCCTCCAGAATGGACTCCGACATGACTAGAGTTTGTCTATGTTTGATGCTTCCTTTTTTAGCTGGGGCAACAGTATGTGTGGGAGACACATTCTGATCGACATCGATGGCTTCTGTGGTCAGCATTGTTGCCCTATATTTGCTGAAGTGATTGCCTTTGGACCCAATGGTTGACTTTGAACAGAAAGAGTCTTCCTCCATGGGATCAACCACATGCAACGTTTGCCTAGGCCGATGGGCTTGCTTTACTTCCTTCTCCTTTGAAATAACCTTCTCAACTGCCTCATTCCTTTGCTGCTGATTGACAATGTTGGATGTGGAGCAGAATGAGTCTTCTTCAATGGGATCAACCAGGTGAGTTGTTTGTCTACGGTTATTGGATTTCAGGTCAACCTTAGGAGCAATTTGCTTGCTTGACGCATCTCTCTGTAAATTATGATCATGTAGACTGCCAGAGGGTGGTGCTATATTGAAGGAATCCTCTTCAATGGGATCAGCCAGGTGAGTTGTTTGTCTACGGTTATTGCATTTCAAGCTAACACTTTGTTTCATTTCTTTCTTAGCTTCCAATGTACCTTCCTCAGTTGGAGCATCTCTTTGTAAACTCTGCTTATGCAGATTCGCAGAGAGCGATGTTAGATTAAAGGAATCTTCCTCAATGGGATCAGCCTGTACAATGGTTTTCCTACGCCTATCAACAGCTGATGGTGCCTCTTTTTCCGTTTCGACTCCTCGTAATTTATGTCCATGCTGATGGACATCAGCTGTAGCCGTCGATTCGAATGGGTCCTCTTCAATGGGGTCTGCGTGATGTACAGTTTGCCTACGTCGATTGCATTTTTCCCCTGGCTGCTTAGGGGCAGCGGAAGTTAAGCAGATTGAGTCTTCTTCAATGGGTTCAGCTAGGTGCAATGTTTGTCTACGTTGGGCGCATTGCAAGTTGGCTGCAGATTGTCCTTTGACAGTTCTCTCGTGCTTTAACTTCTCTTCATTCATTGTGGCATCTCTCTGTAAATTATGCTTAAGCTGATGGGCTGATGTGGATTTTAGACTGAAGGAGTCTTCTTCTATGGGATCATCCACGTGTAACGTTTGTCTTCGTCTATTGTATTGTAGATCCAGTTTAGTTGCCTTAACTGACTTTTCAGTTTGTAATCCTGAGCAGATTGGATCTTCTTCAATGGGATTTTCCTGAAGTAATGTTTGTCTACGACGACTGCCTCCATCATCAATGTTATGCTGTGCTGAGCAGAAAGGATCTTCTTCAATGTCGTCAGTGTGATGTAAAGTCTGCCTGCGTCTATTGGGTTCATTGCTTTGCTGCCTTGTGGCTTTGGAAGTTGAGCACATTGAATCGTCTTCGATTGGATCAGCCATGTGTAAAGTTTGCCTGCGTTTATTATGTTGAGAGTCAGCTTCAGTAGGTGCTGCCTTTGGCTTCACTTCTTGAGGTTTTACATTATCTTCCTTATTCCTCTGTAATGCTTCTCTATGTTTTTCGGCAGAAGTGGATGTTGAGGAAAAGGAATCTTCTTCGATTGGATCAGCCAGATGCAATGTTTGTCTTCGCCTGGTGCCCTCGAATGCCTCTGCATTAGATTTTGGCTGTAATTGATCTTCTCTTTGCGGCTGAACAGCAACTTCTTCAATGGATTCAGACAAGACCAATGTTTGTCGACGTCTCGTGTACTGATGTACAATTTCTGTAGCAGCTGCAGTCCGTGACTGTACGCAATCTGTTTCAATGTGCTCGGACATGTGCATTGTGTGTCTGTTCTTGTTCTGATGCGCTTCCTTTGGTGCAGAAGCTGGCACGCAAAATGAGTCCTCTTCAATAGGTTCGGGTAAGTGTATCGATTGCCTACGTCTGCTGGAATCCTTTTCAACGACAGGCATTGTCTGTGACTGCGATTTGGATTCTTTTTGTGGCCTTACACTCTCTTCTTCAATTGGCTCAGTCATGTGCAATGTTTGCCTTGGCTTATTGGGTTTCATAGAAGTAGCATTAATTTCTTTCTTCGAACAGAACGAATCTTCCTCCATGAAATCAGCCATATGTAATGTTTGCTGACGATTATTGATTGCATTTGTTTGCAATTCCAGCTTTGGCATTTCAAGATCTTCATCCATGGCCTCTGCCAAATATACAGTTTTCCTGCGAACATTGAATTTGGTTTTAGGAGCTGAGGACTCCGAATTCGGCTTTGCCTCATCCTCTTCAATGGGTTCAGCCATGTACAATGTTGGCCTTGACTTGGTGCGATGTTGAGCTACGACTGCTTCCTGAGAACTTAAATGTGTTTGATTGGATTGTTGAACCACAGCTGCCGTCGTCAAATTGTCCTTCCTATCTTTACAGGGGCTTAAGAAATCGTCTTGTTCCATTGGCTCGTACGTTGTTTGCTTAAGCTTTGCACCTGCCAGAGCTGCTGCAACCGCTGCCTCATGCTTCTCTAGGTCATCCAATTCCATGGCAGTATTATCGTATGTAGTTTCACGCCGCGATGAGCACTTGGAGTTATTTCGTGAGTGTGTTTCATCGCCCATTTTGGCATTAACTAGAAAATTTGTGTTATCCAGCATTAGTTCGTCTGCCTGAGAGTAACGATAATTGCGCTTAGCATTGAGTGAGCTCTTAGGCTTAACATGTTGCTCTGCATGGTCTGTTTTTGTTTCGGACTTTTGTGGAACGGCAGGCGACATCATCATGCTCTCATTGAAATTGAGTGTACCGCGAGGCTTTATCATTTCTCTATTCGGAACTTCCTCGTCCGTGTGTTGCTGTTCCAATCCATGCCAGAAACGCTGATTGCCTTTGCGATCTGTTGTTGGAGTTCTTGGACCATTGGGGAATAGCTGTATGCGGCCAGAATTCAATGCATCGTTCAATTGCCGAAAGTTCAGTTTCTTGCTAATGCCGTTCTCTGAAATGACATCCAATGGAATTAAGGGCGACGATAACGTTGAATCATCTGCCAAATAGTTAATATAATCTTGTTCCGCCATATCCATAGAAAAATTCTCTTGAGTTCCCTTCGGCACATCTTCAATCATTCCTTTTGGCTCTGTGATAAAAAGAATTGATACATTTATCTAAAGTCTGTCACATTTATTTACAGTTATAGTTACCAATATCACTAAAGTCACACGTTATATCTTTGTTCTCAAATACCATTGTCTTTTGCTTCACTTCAGTTTGCTTTTCAGGCAAAACACTCATGTCTGTAGACATTATCGTAGTTTTTTGCATGTTGACTTTCTCGGTGTGATTTGACTCCAACTGTAATAAAACAGAGATTAGTCAAGATCTGTATATATGAGAACATTTTCTTCACATCATATTGAAGTTGTACTTAGCATTTCTTAATTTCAGTTTAACTCTTATCACCAGTTTCAACTCACCCCAGCATAAGCTAATGCTTCTGGCATAAGATCCACAGTTTTTTCAAAAACTGTCATTTTGTATACACTATTTTCTCTCAGCTTCTCACGTTCTATTTCATTCAAAGATAAACTGTCACTGACCGTTTGTTCCAATCGGGTTGGCGATTCATTGCGCCGCCGGTTTCGATTTAATTCATCCGGTAGCAGCGTCACATTGATGCTTGACTGCAATTTGAATGTGAAATCGCTGAATCGCGAATTTTGCTCCAATACTGATGCACTGTTGATGGCAGCAATGAGACCTTCGGGCGATGCATTTTCCTTATCCATCTCATCGGCCACTTGGAGATGTGCTGTACTTTGCAATACAGACGCTGCCACTGTGCCATGGGAGTGGCCGGAACTGTCCTCTCCATTGGTGTGATCTGATATTTCATATGAGTTGTCATAGTCTCGAGCTTTCTCTGTTGTATCGAATTCCCTGTATTTGCAATAGACCTCCGTGTTTAGAAAAATTCGTTAATATTATGCATAATACATACCGTATAAACTTTTTGCCGCTGAAACTGATGCGACGCTTTGTCCGTACATGATCAACCTCTTCATCTGGCAGTTTCGAGACTTTCTTAAGCTAGAAAAAAGAAGTTTTTTATAGTCTCTGCTTATGTGTTTTTACATTTTACTCACCGAACTTCTTGCTTTCTTATTATTCATTTTGTTTTGTTAGATAAATATTACTGTTCTCGTAATTTAAAATACAGACGCCATAATATATGAGACTGCCAACTTGTATAATTATTTTCCGCCTCTACTATACGATTGACAAATATCGATAAATCGATAAGATATTTAAGCAGTTATATTTAAATTGTGTATAAATAGTGTGGTTGCGTTATTCAAATATTTAGGTAGTCCAGTCGCTTTGTTGTAATTTAATAAACAATATTTCTTCGTTGATATCCTTCAGATTTGTCTGCAATCAACTATGTGTCAATCCTATGAAATTTTCAATTCTGTTGCTTATGATAAAAAATATTCTCTAGGATAGAACAGTGGCTGAGTATAGTGGTTAGTGGTATAATATATTATCAGTTGCTGAAAATAAAATATTAATTTTAAGCATTTAAATATTTCGATTACTATGTTAATCAGCTGGGCCTAGCTATCGTTATCGATTTCATTTGCTTAATATAGTTATCCTATCGCTAGTACAACGATTCGATAATTAACTTGACTCAACACTACCGCCAAGCACATTTTTCTGTGTTAGATCTGCTTAAGCTTATCCAAAATTGGATTGTGAAATGTACGAGCTGAAAACCTTGTTGCCACAATTTGATATTAAACTGCCTACCTGTATGTACGAATTAAGGAATGTCAGCCTCTCTGCTGGCTCTGCGCCATGCCCTCAAGTAAGTGTGTTGTCCCCAGCTGCCGTGGCCAAAATTAGAGATGCGCATTGTTGTGAACAGCAGAAATTCGCTGTGAGAGTGATTTAATTCATAATTATCAGAAATTAAATAACTTAACTTCGTGACAAAATTAATAAAAAATAGTAATCATTCATTTTCATTCAACATATGATTTCGAAAAAGGCCCGTGAAATTCAATGCAATGGCGCAGCAAAGAGTGAAAGGAACAATTCAAAATCGGCCACCTGTGCACTTGATTTGGACATTTTAGGCCAACAAATACAACATTTACTAAAGGTTATACAAAATATAAATCTATTTATAAGCAATACTAACAAAACTGCATAACACGCACCGTACTTTCGCACTTGTGTGCTCATATTGGAAATGGACGCATGATAATACGTGTTTATAACTAAGTGTGTGTTCCCAGCGAAGTCCTCTTTAAACTCTATGTCAAAGTGTGGTGATTTAAAATAAATACTCATAATAATCATCACTATAAATGTGGCTTCGTAAGTCAAGGAAAATATTCATTTCATTTATAAAGCACTGCGATCGCAATAGTAAAATTTACGCCGCCCATCTCTATTTTGGCTCATTATGTTTGTATTTGTCCTGCAATGATGAAATTTGTTTGTATTTACAGAATGAAGACACGGCAGCAATTTTGCAGCGCCAAGAGAAGGTGTTGAAGCAGCTGGAGGAGCTGAAAGCACAATTAGGTCTAATGCGGGAAAACTTGGGTGTTAAAGTGTGCGAAAAGAGCGTGCAGCAGACGACAGCTTCTAATAACGGTGGACTTAAAGAGGTAATATTGGAGGTAATCCTAATGGCTGAAATGACGGAAACTAACGAATTGCTTTTCGATAGATTCCACTGCATGATGTAGTCGTTAATGGGCATCCCAACTTTATACCATATGCACTGCTGGCATTGAAGAACGCTTGGCGGGATTTGTTCACAATTGATGTGAAGACATTTACACACTCGACTATGGCTGATATTGGTCCAGCAGCGCGCGAATTCGAGGCTAATTTGGCCAAAATAGCCGTCAATGAAGCGTTGCCCAAGATCAAAGTAACACTAATCTGGAAGAACTGTAAGTGTTTTACTAAAATCCCATTGTAATTTATTTATTTTAAGTCATTAATCTATCATCAGGTGAACACACAGAGATGATCAGCTCGCCCACAATGTATGTGCCCATATATGGTGAAGTGAATATCATTAGATACCTGGGCCGAGTGGGCCCCCCCGAATATCGCTATGAGAACTCGCCTCTCTGCAATGAAATTGATGCTGTGCTAGACATTTGCTATCAACTGCTGCGGTGCAGCACACACAAAAGCCAAGTGGCCATGGTTCGGCTGCTCGACAAGCGACTAAATGATCAGCAATACTTTGGCGGCAATCAAATGTCTGTGGCGGACATTGGTGTCTATAGCTCTTTGATACGCATGCCTGCCATTAAAGATAAGGATCTTACTCCAGCGCTTCTTGCGTGGCGCAAACGAGCCAAACTCATAACTCAAATCTAAAATATTGCAAAATTTAAGAAATAAACCTCTAGCAAAACAAATTTTGCTACTGTCACAATCGATCGATTAATTGAGATGAAACTTGGAAGCACGAATTGTGATATCAAATTCAGTAATCGTAATTTTAAAATTACTTTTGAGTGTTATCTCAATCCGACAAAAATATATCAAAACTTAATGATGTAGCAAATAATATATTTATTGAAGAGTTTTTCTTTTTACCATCCAGCTGATTTGACTAGAGAATGTTTACCATTAAAGTAGACACTTTAATTTTTTTTTTTAATTTTATTTGGCTTATTTATCTTTGCAATTAATTACACAATGCAGTTTCTCATTTTAATATTGCAATTGGTGTTTTGTTTTTAATTTTGCACTTACAAATGGCTTAGTTGCTACGTTTAATATATGCTTTATATTGTTGAAATCCGTTGATTGTAAATTATGTGGTTTCTTTTATTAGTTTAGCATTTGTATTAGGATGTCTCTCGCTTTCTAGGAGGAGGTTAGTTCACGATAAAATTGTTTGTATCTGTAGCGCCCCCGTTAATGAGCTGTACCACATACAAGCACATACGGATGTAATTGTATATATATTTTTAAATAATAATTAATAGCTAATACATATGTATATTGTATATATATCTTGTATAATCATTATCAGTTTTGAGTGTTATTTAGTTGCTGTAAAAGGAATCGCAAGCTCTTGAAACTCTATGAACGGATTTAAAACGTGCCTAGCCAGAGGCTAGCTGGGAAATAAAAGCCAGCTAAGAAGTGATTCACGTTTCAGTTTTACAATTGTACACAAATTAAAAGTAAAAAATAATATTGTTAAGAGAAATTATACGACGCCAAGCTCGATTGGCATCCGGGGCGCCTCCTAGCTGTTGTTTAACTCGATTCTTTTGCACACTTAGTATTTCATTTAAATGCTACGTAGACGCCTAGGGCAGGAGCAGAGTTGAGTTGGAGATGGAGATGGTGTGGAGCGGAGCGGGTGCATCTGCATTATGTTGTCTCGCCCTTACCGCTGTCATCAGCGGATTCGGCATCATCTGTTGCAGATGCCGCAGCTGATTTCGCGGAGAGACCATTGTTGTTCGTGCACTTTGTATTGCCATTATTTTTGCTAATTGCACTATCCGCATTCCCGTCGTCCTCCTCATCATCTTCATTCTCCTCATCCTCATCGTCCTCATCCTCATCCGAGTCTGTTGGCAAATCTTCCGTCTCCAAATCAAAATCATCATCATAGAAATTTGCATCCAGGCCAGACTCTGTGCTAGGCTTAACAGTGGGCTTAAGGCAATAGTCCTCCAGGGTCATAGGCACCACAATACCCTCTCGCTTGGCTTCCGCATTGGCGGCCAACGCCTGCTTGCGTATGATGTTTGGATATTCGTTGTCTTTGCCCTGCATTGCACATAAGAATACAGTTAGTATATACTAGACCATAGATTAGAGAATTCAAATTCAAACTTCGTTTACCTGGGAGTCCCGCCATCGTCGATACATCACCGAGGCATCTACATTGGCCGGCGAGTATGTATTGGGCTCATTGAGCAGCGAAATGACTGAGAGGAGAATGGTGCGCACGTTCTGAGTTGGGTTCCAGCGTTCGCAGGGCAGCTCACCACTTTGGGGATCATCGACAGGCGGATGCAGTATGGATATACAAAGGTCGCCGTTCTCGTAGACATTCGGATGCCATACCTTGGTGAGGAAGCGTATGGTTGGCGGCGAGTACGGATAATCATGTGGGAATTTCATGTGCGCCTTGAAATAGCCACCTTGATATAGCGTGTCTGGTGGGCCAAAGATAGCCACCTCCCATTCGAACAGATTATCATCATTAATGAGCTTGACGCGAAATCCCTCCACTGGCTCTTCCTGCAGGGACTTGTATTCCATGGCCAGGGCACGCACCGCTGAGCTACTGGGCGTTGTTGACAGCGTTGCTGTCGTCGTGGAGCTTGCGCCGCCAGCTCCGGCAGCAGCCATCAACGTCGATGACGCATTTTGCGATGTGGAGGCAGCAGTGGTCATTTGTTCACCTACCAATTGAAAAATGTTTCGATGCAGCGACTTTTGTTTGTATGTACGTATGTATGTGTACGCTTGTGAGTGTATGTGAGTGCTTAAATGTTATATGTATGTGAATCAAGCGTACAGGGTCAATATCTTGTATATGTTAACGCGTACGGGAGGGGAAAACAACAACGACTGCGGATTCAAGGTTAGCAGCGGCACTCACACATATTGAAATTGTTTTTGCAAGTGAAACTTGAAAATTTTGGATAAACGATTGGGACAAATGCGTTGTGTCGCGTTGCCTTGCTTTTGTCGCCTTTTTTAAAAAGAAGAAAATTATGTGTCGTTGTTGTTGTTTTGAAGCAGACAACAAAATGATTCAGACAAACAAAAATAAATTAAATGAATATATTCCAGTGGAGTTTCAAGTTTCTTTGCAGCCTACTGTGTTTAATACGTACTTCTTTTGGCCAAATAACTTAATTTGAATATACGGCTTATTGATAGATTTGTATTATTGTTATTTCCTTTGCAACAATTTCACTTTACACATATTCGCCATAATTAGAGATTCGATACTATTGGGAACAAGCAGGGTGACATTTTGTAATTCGATGTCGATACATCGTCATTAGCATAGCTCACGAATCAATGATATTGGAGAATTATATCGATACATCGATTGCTTCCACTTTGATATCAACAATTCGATATTATCAGTACACCCCTAGTAGAAAAAAGCTGCGCATCGCTAGTGTATACACAAGTGCTGAAGCTGCAAGTCGTGCGTGTAGGTACGCGAGAATTATTTTAAGAGCCACGAAAACTAACCAATTAATTTAATAAAAAAACAAAGCAACAACCAGCCGCGTCGTTATACTTATCACTTAGCATGTGGATTAAATATCTTTCGCTCAATATGCTGCGACGCGCCGCGCTATCTACGCTTCAACTCTAAAGAGACGGCAACTGTGAAAAAGAAAGAAGTAGCAAAGCAAAAAAAAGTGCATACAGGAGTGGCTGCTGTGAGTGCGCGAGCATATAAAATTGAAATTGCCAAATCTAAGCAAGCATACACACACACACACACACTCATCTAAATAAATACATACATAAAACACAGCTCTTGTTAAATTTAATTTAACATTTGTGTAATCTTAACGAACAAAATAATTACTACGTACGAAGAAAATTCAAACAACGCCCAAAACAAAAAAAGAAAAAAACAAAATTAACAGATACAAGTACGAGGAGCGGAGTAATAACGACAACGAAAGATAAATGCATACAGAGACAAAATAGCGAGAGAAACAACTACTACTACAATAACAACGCAGTTACATTCCAGTGGGAAAGTAAAGGGGAACCGAGGAACATGTTTTCAACCAGCATAAAACAGCATAAAATTGTGAGCGAGCACATTTTTCTGTGAAAACCGAACGCCCGAAAAAAAAGTGTTGCCCACACACACACGCACGCATACACACATAATTTAATATACATACGCGCGTACGCAGGCAAATAGCCGCACACAAACAAACCAACGCTCACGTACACACACATACACAATGTCCAGCTGGGCCGAACGCGTGCATCGACGCGCTGCTGATTTGGGCAACGTAGTCACATCCTGTGGCCATCCAGCTACCGCTCCCGCCTATCCCTACCGCTTGGAGAAGGTGAAGTTCGGTGTGCCTCTGGAGGAGGTGTGCAAGCACAACAATAACATTCCAGGCCCTCTCCTCGTATTAATATTGAAACTGAACAAGGAGTCGCCCAATCGACGCGATGTTTTCCGTGCGCCCGGCCATCAGGGCGCAATGAAGAAGCTCATCCATTTCCTGCAGGCGGGCCGACTCGTCAACGTTGATAATTATTCGGTGTTCACCATTGCCAGCGTACTAAAGAAGTTCCTCCGCAAGATACCGAACGGCATCTTTGGACGCAGTGGCGAGATGGAGCTCTTTGCCATTAACGAGCTGCAAAACGAAGCCGAGCAAACGGACCGTTTACACAGGTGAGTTGACAACTTTGTCAATTATTTACAGATGTAGATGCATGTACATATAAATATATACACACGTTTATGCAAACTTTTGTATATTGAATATAGTTATGTGTTAGCGACGTGACACGACCTATAGTATTTATCTGTATGGTTTTCGCGCCGTTTTTTAAATTTACCTTATCAATTGAGCTAATATTTATGAGGGTTGTTTTTACCTTTTTAATTTTACCTTCATAAATAATGTGGCACATCTTTAACTACATAAGTTAAATATACTACATATCGTGCTGACACGCGACCATCTCTAGAAGCACTGATGTACCCATCTTGTGTCTGTGTGTGTATATATTGTAACTAGCTTGCGGTAAACTTGCTGAACCGGATCTAGATTTGGTTGCAGCTCAAGAATCTTCAATACACACACATACCTATATGTATTTGTATATGTGTATGTAACATGTATGTGTGAGTTGGCAGATGTTGGGTGGGTGTGCGAGCGGGCGAAGACGTCTGCGAATTTAGTTGAAATTAAGTGAAAAGCGTTGACTATGTTTTGCTATCGCTGCGTTTGTTGCTTTTGCTGCGTTTCACATTTGCTAGATTTTCACCAATTTTCACTTAAACGCTAAGCGCAGGCGACAAAAATTGGTGGAGAGTAATCCTCTGGGCTTGTAGTAAGTACTTAGTTTGCAGCTGTAAATTGAAATGTTTTGTTTGCTTGTTTGCTTTGCGTTGATTCGCATTGCTTTGGTTTGCTTTGTTGTTGCAATCGATTTCTAACCGAACTGAATTAGAGCATAAAGCGTGGGCCAACCGACGAAGAGACAGACAAACAGACAGACCCACGCATGCTCAATTAAAATAAAACAAAAAATATTGCAGTTTTGTAATTTACGATTGCTTCTGTTACTTTTGTTGTTTCTTGCAATTGCAATCGCAGCCCGAATTGTGGGTGAAGTGTGTAGAGAGGAGACGGTAAAGTTGGTTGTGCGTGAAGCAAAATGAAGTGAAGTGAGCGGCTCTGGCAATTAAGCATTAACAATCGCAATCGATATTATCTTTCGTTTTTATCGGAGCTGCAGTGGCCTTGCCAACTTAATGCTGTTGAATTGGCATTTGACAGCTGTTTGATTGCAAACGCTTTATATGCGTCTATTCAGATTTCGCTTTTGTTAATACACTCTGCCACTTTGATATATGAGGATGAATGGGTGGTTGGATGCGGCAACTGCGTCAGCAGAGTCAGAAGCAGAAGTATCGGCAGCAGCATCACCAGCAACAACAACAACAACAAGAACAGAAGCAACGCTGTTACATTAATGCTAATGTGCGTGTAAACAAATAACGTCAGCAATAAAACATAAATTTAAAATTCGGATATCGGTACATGCGTAAAAATCGACCGCCAAATGATTTTTCCATTTCAGCTAAAGCAGAGCAGCGGTTCAAACGTAAATTTTAATTTGGTTACTGTAAACTTTGCGTTCGTGGCCAGCATACAATTATATACACATTTATTGTTGTAATTGTTTATGTGTAGCCGCTGCTGCTGCCGCTGCTGTTGCTGTTACCTTTCTTTTGTTTATTTACATTTTAGGGCAGGCGCAGGCCGCCAAACCAGCAAGAGCAACAGCAAAAAGATATCTCTACAAACAGGCACACGCACACACATTTATATAGATATATACATATATATACACAAACAAACACGCACACATTGAGCAATCGCAATCAGATTCGTTGCCGAATCAAACCAATGCGCGAAAATAGCGACTCTGCCACTGAAACTTTTTATAAATAGATACACACTGTAGACGCGCGTTTGAGACTTTGTATCAATTAACGTAAACGTAAAACGTAAGAGCAGCCCAACAGGTCCCCCACAAAACTATTGGCACTCAATTCAATCAGTTGGCACATCATTTTGTTGCCGTTGTTGTTGTTGTTGTTGCTGCGGGTTGCTGCTAAGTGTTATTATTATTGCAGCAGACGAACGACGGCAGCTACGACGTCATTGTTGCACGTTTTTGCAATATACTAGGTAATCCTCGGGTATACATATGCATTTGTATATCTATATTGTGTGCTAAATGCATAAGACCATGTGAGTTTGTTATTTCTGTAGAATTTTATTTGTAAAATTACCTGTTAGAAAAACAACAAACAACAAAACACAAACAAGACGCTGACGTCGTTGGTATCTAAAAAAGTTTGACTGCAGTCAGGTGTGTGCGTATGTGTGTGTATATGTACATATGTATGTATGAATGACCCAACCCCGCTTCTTGCCTGCCGTTCTCAATCTATCTATCTCTCTCTCTCTCTCTCTCTCTCTTTCCATCTTGTGGCTCCGTCAATTGTTTCGGTTTCCTGTTAGCTTCAACTTGTTGCCTAGCCAAAGCTTTTTTCGCTTCGTTTTGAAGCTTTTCGAACGCCTGTTGCGCCCATACGCCTGTCCCAAGGCAGAGCTTAAGAACTTTGCTACGAATTATGAAGATTAGCGAATTCTCTTAGAAATCAAATACTAATAAAATGAAAATTTTCTTTTATAGTTGAAAGTAGTTTAGTGCTTGAGTTGGACAATAAAAATAAAATCTTTTTAATGATGAGGCAAATCTAATTTCTGTCTATTGTCTAGGGTATTTAGACTTTGTGTCGCGGAAGAGATTTATTTTTAAATATCTTTTTTTGATTTCGACCTTTTCATATGCCAGCTGCCTGTCATATCATGCACACTGCCAAAGCTAATAGGATATTTACACAATTGCTGCCTGGCCGGTCGATTGGACTGTCCCTCTGTCCGGTTGCCTGTTGTCTGTGACAATAGTTGGGCATAAACCTTCTTCTGCTGTTGGCGAATATCAATAAGTGCAAAAAGAATGCAAAAATTGCCCGCTTTTGTTGGGCTAGACAGGCGAAATGGCAACTGAGCAGAGACGGCTGTCTGGAATATACATAAGTGAAGAAAGAGAGGAAAACAAGAAGGGACTGCGACTGAGACAGAGACAGAGACGGCGACAGGGAAACAGTTTATAACAAAAGCCGCATTGTCCAATGCATTAACAAGAGGCGACGTGGACGTCTGTTTGGGTCTATTGCAATATCGACTGATGTTCACTTCCTGATTATTACATTATGTAGTCAGTCACGGACTGCAGAGAATTGTGTTTTGTTTTGTTTTGTTTCGTTTCGTTTCGTTCGATTCTTTACTGGGTTCTCTGTGCTAAAGTCGTCATAGTTGTTGTTTTAAAGGGCTTCGCGAATCGCAATAACAAATATACAAAAATAAATATTATATATCTGCATGTATATACATATATATAAGAAAAAATTGCTACCTCAAAGTTTCCATTTGGCCACGCTGCATAAATAAACTTAAACTGCCGCCAGAGTCAGTCAGTCAGTCAGTCAGTTAGTCAGTCAGTCAGTCGCACAGTATAAACAACACACAATGCCCAATGCCCGCCCAAACAAAACCAATAAAAGTAAAATAAGCGAGTGCACAATATAAATATACATTCATATATAACGCATATAAACAGCGATCTCTTCCACAGTACATACAGTCACTAAAATGTGCGTCAGTAGAGCTCATCGGGTGCGTCGCGCGTTGTTCGCCTGGCCCTGTTTCGGCTGTTGCCAGCTTCTCTGGTTCAGTCTCATTCTCATTCTCATTTTCATCATCATCATATTCATATTCGCATTCCGTATCTGTCTCCATTTACCCTATCTCTGGGCCTCTCTTGGTTTGGGCTGCCTGTCTGGCTTGACTTTTCCAGCGATTGCCCTGAACGCTGATCTTTTGGCCAAACCATATGCCGGACTAACACTGCGATGTTCATCTTTGGACTTGTATAAAACTTTGCTCACACTATAATGTGAGTCAAATAAAAAATTAAATAGCTATTTGCAACTGAGATTATAATTGTCGAATATATATATCTTAGGCATGTGGCTTATTAGTGTTAATTGTCTGCACTATAGAGCTAGAAGTTAGATTGCAGTATGTATTTCTATATAATTTATAGCTAATGCCATCTTAATTGGTGCCTCTGCAACGTTTTGCGGCTTTTGACTTAATTAATTGCCAAATGAGAATCGCAGAGAAGCGTGCAAGTCAAGAGTAAACGGTATCCGTATGTCAAGTACGCTCGACTTTACCATTCTCATTTGTATCTTGTGCCTGTATCTGGCTGTCTGCACTTGTATATGTATGTATATATATAGGGTATATACATATGCACATATGTATATGTGAGCAAATTTATATGTTGAAACCGCTTCATATTTTTTTTTATGATTATCGTGCGTTGCGTTTGCTGTTTTACTTGGCTCATTATTATGACGTATTGTATTTTTCATTCGCTTTTTTTGTTTTTTGTTACCGCCAACAACAACAACAACAACAAAATCTGCTGCTGCTGCGGTTCGCGTTTCGCATCTGTTTGAATCTCTCAATTTTTTATATTTTTGCTAAATTAACACAAAGGCTTTTGGGCGTGGAGCCGCGTTGCCGCAGACGATGAGACGCAATCGCAAGACGCCGCAACGATGAATATTGATGCAGCTGCAGCTGATGCAGACTTTAAAGATATAATTGAGAATCTGAGGGGAAAAAGCCCTTTAAATAGAGCGAGTGACCAACTCTGCGGCTTACAGCAGCTGAGAGAACTGCCATCCTTTGTTCTTGCTGTTTTAATTGTGACTCAAGTAATTCCTATGTAGACTATTGCATTGACTCACTATTTGACTAATCTGCCCTGCGATCTATGTATGTAATGTGCAAACATTTCTTTAATAGGAATTACGCCTGATTTCTTAATATGGTTTGCATACTGCTGCATAACATAAAGCTGTGATAAAGCCTGGTTGCTTCCGAGTTCAGCTCTCAAGTCTCAGTGCCCCGCCCTGCAGTGTTCGTTTATGGGTCTTATCAGCCGGTAGAGCTGGCATCTGAAATCGTTCAAGTGGCACAAGAGTTGTGGGAATATCAAAACTGGTTTCTCTGTAGGGCACAAATACGTAACAATACATATATAATGCATATACATATATCTCTGATAACCACAAAAGAAATTAAAAAAGAAATGAAAGAAAGAAATAAAACAGTTACAACAACATTTAAAAAAAGGCAAATCAAATGCGGCACTTGAAAAGGCAGACGAGTGCGAGAAAAATAAAAAAAAAAAAACATTGTATTCGACTGCGGCTACGGCTGACATATTTCTTTTTTATGAATGAAAAAATACAATAATAATAATAAATGATTCATCTATAATGTGACGCAGCGTTGGCCTTAACAGTAGCACTTACACACACACGAACACACACACATATACATATGCATATGTGTTAAGCATACGAAAAACTATTTAGCATCCAATTCACAGAAATGCCTTTAAATATAGCCGGTTTCTTAAGCATTATGTAAAATCAGCGCCGTCTGTCTGGCAACACGGCGCATGCGTAACGCGTCTCGATCAGCGATTATATAAGGAGGCAGCTGGGTGCGTGTGCCCAAAATGCGGGTCTCTAATGTATCCCATTAATAATATGCATAAAATCATGTGTAGAAACAATAAAAGCAAGCTTGAATTGGCTGTCTTTGAGAGAACTCGACTAGGAAATGCCCTGAAGAAAAGGAAAGTTCAATGGGCAGTGAGCCTTTCTATGCGATTTTCATATGAAAAACAAGCGTAATAAATCATGTTCAACAAAGGGCAAACAACATCGGGCAACTTTGAAAGAATTTGATCAGAAAATGCCCTAAAGCAAACGAAAGTTTGATTGGAGATAGAGCGGAGAAGTCGCCTTTCTATGCGATTTTCATTTTTAAAGCTCATTAAATTACTTTAGAGGGGAGCTAGTTGAGAGAGTCATTTCTGAAACTATTAAATATTCTAAATGAGAACTTGGATTGTTTGAAATAATTGGAACAGCTGTTCTAGGCACCACTCTTGATACTTTTTAGCTTTGCAGCGCGGTCTGAGTATACCCATTTAATGGCAGTTTAACTATTTTGCACTTCATTTCGAGAATTTTGCGTCATCCATGTGAAACACGTAGAATCAGCTCGATTAATTCAGACTGATTGTAAAATATATAAAATAAAATTGTATAAATAGCTAAAACAAAATCAAATAATTTTGAGCAATTAAATCAATAGGGGGACATTAATCATCCGTACGATTGCGTACGATACCCAAAAAAAAATAAAATAAAATACAAAAATAATAATTAATGCCTTATCGCGTCCATATCAAACGACAGCGTAAACACTTGTTTCGTTAACCAATCGTTCAATTCTACTATTATATTGTTTTCGTTGTTGTTGTTGTTGTTACTGTTGTTGTTTTTCCTAACGGAATTCCTCGTAATTAATGCAATTAGTAAACAATTTGTACGCATTCCATTTACGAGCGTCGCCGAAAATAAAATAAAATAGTAAACAAAAGCCAAGCCACATACATAGCCCCAGATACGTATTAATAATAATAGATAAGTTATCTATTTTATTTAGCTTCGATTGCTTCGATTTGATGGGCTCGAGTTCGAGTTCGAGTTCGAGTTCGAGGCATCACACGGCGTTGTCCTCCATGTGAAGAAGTTGAAAAAGCATGGAGCTTAGCGCACCCTTCGATAAGATTGGACCGTGGGCCATGTAGAATATATTTATGGTATTACAGCGGCGGCACGTTTTCATTTTTTAATATTTAACGTATTTTTTTTGGGTGGTTTTGTTTGCTGCACTTCGGGTCGTTGATATCGTTGGGGGCCAGAGCTAAAAAGTTCAAGCCATAGGCTAGGCGGCCATTGCTCGGGTTTGCTCTGTTTGCTTCTCTTTATTTGCGTGTTTTCTTTTTTGTGCTATGAGGAAACAGGTGAACGCGCTGATAGTTTAGAGATGAAGTAACTTTATAAAGCCTTGACCCACGATATGAGCACTACGCCATTGGCAAACAATGTTTATCACCCGCTGATTAAAAGAGTTGACAAAAAAATCTGTAAAATCTGCTGAAAGCAAAAACTACTGAAGCGAATCGGATTGCTGTAGAATCTATCGCATACTGTGCGGGAATTTGCTTAGTCTGCCGTAAGTTGTGTTTACAAATATAGAAATAAGAAGCCTGCGTCTTCGTTTCTAATAATCCAAATAAATAATCGGATGAACTTCTCGTTTGCTTGAGGACCTTTTGCCAACTCATGATTTCTTTTTATGCAGAAGTCTTATTTTACTTTATTTTCTTTCTATAATTGGAGCTGCATTTGCAGCGGCGGCCTATTATTGTGCCTTATCAATGCATTTAACACCTTTAGAGTGTTGCAGTTGTCTCTGTGTTGGTACGCTTTTCTTTCAGTTTGTTTGTTTGCTCAGCTCATTGTATGGCAATTCACACCGGCAGCTTAATAGACGATGTCGGCCCCTGGAGCTTACTTCTTATATGCCATGTATTATAGTATAATTCATTGTCAAGCGACGCGTCGGTTATGGACGTTGACTGTGTGCTTGTATCTTCGAGTTTTCACTTTTTTATGGGAGCCGCAGATGCGAAGAGCAAAGAGCATTAATTGATTGGATGGCTGTGATAGTTGCTTAGTTCGCTTCGTTGGTCTCTAGGTTGTGTAACGAGCACGATAGACCGAAAGAGAGGCAGAAAGAAAGACAGACAGACAGGGAGAGTTAGAGAGAGAGAGAGAGAGAGGGGGACTCGGAGAGAGAGAGAGAGACAGACCAGTTTTGGTAGTTTGTTTGTCAGGTTTTCCAAGCCGCGCATGCCAAAATGAAAGTGTGAACAATTCAAGCAGCTGAATTTTAGTCTTCCTCTACCTCTACCTCTACCTCTACCTCTACCTCTACCTCTACCTCTACCTCTACCTCCACCTCTATCTAACGTCGCCTGCTGCACCCACCTGGATGGCTTTCTTCGCCGGCCCTGGCTAGACAATGAGTCAGTGCACTGTGTAATAAAAACATGAGTAACAATTGCCGCCGCCTGTGCCACCTAGATATGCATAGATAAGACGATCTTTATACGGGCTTCTGGGCTGACATTTACGCTTGCCTTCGTTTCGCATTCAATGTACTCATTTCCTCTTTACCGCATTCCGCTTTTCTTGCAGATTGTTTGCATCACTGCCCAAATATACGCAACATCTATTAGTCTTACTCTTTGGCACATTCCGCGTCATCGCCAGCAATGCGGCCCACGCATCCACGGGCATGACCAGCGAAGCTCTCGGCGTCTCTGTAGCGCCCAGTTTCTTTCAATCCTGCGTCAGCGATGGCAAGACCGCGCGCATGGAGGATGTGCTCAAGTTTAAGGTGAGCTCCGAATGGACTATACATTTAGTGATTATGCTGGGTACTAAACACTCTTCCCTTTCAGGTGGCCACCAAGATCATGCAGCACATTATCGATAAGTTTGCCACACACGATATCTTCGGGCGCGACAACTACGAATACTATGCCCGCGTCACGGGGCGCATTCTAAAGGTGCAGGACGAATGGATCTGCAGTTTCCAATATCCGCCGCCGCCACGCGGCAAATTGGCGCAACAGAAATATGCATGTAAGTGGAGTGGGAAGAGGTGTCTAAGGAATGCCAGAGTTAAGATTAGGGATTACAAATGAAACTATTTAGAATGGAAAGTTTGTGCTCAAGATCTTTAACTGAATTGAAGCATATACATATTGTAAGATTGACTATATGAGTTAGGATTCATAGACCACATATGATTCTCGGAACTTTACTCAATATACAACTATTTAATATTGTCAATTCGTAAAATTAAAGTCAGATAAATACGTGAGCAATATGTATATAATTATACATTATGAATACGGAATGTGTGTTCCATATAAGCAGTTAGACCTGTTTCTGAGTCGCAATACGATATGGAATATTTATAGTATCGAAAGCACCCACAATAAGTAAATATATATTATTAAGGCATCTAGATTTCCATTGCATAAGAACTTAATGATTATAAGAAAGGCAATTGTGGTTTTTATAAAATCTTAAATATAAATAAATATTTGTATATACATTTATAAATATTTATCAGAGATAAGAACTAAGTTAAACTAGGTTATTAAAGTCATTTTTATTCATTTATTTATTCAATGCACAATGATTAATAAACTTTTCTTTCTGCTTATCACAGTACAACATTCTCTGGAGGCCGAAAAGACTTGGTTGCAGTGCCAATGCGAGCGTTGGGGCTTACGTGAGTACCTCTACTATCTAGATTAGCTCTATCTGGCTATCTATAAGCTGTGCCACTATTCGTATTTGGGGTTAGCTATGTGCTTAGTTCTTAAGTCCATTGCTTGGGCAACAGGCTTTTGGGGTTTCTATGCTTTGGGCTTAACACGAATTCTTCACACACTAGACTCTCTCTGTCTCTCCTCCTCCTCTGTCTGTCTTCGCTCTCTCCATCTATTCTCTAACTCTGCACTCTGCTTTGACTCACACACGACCTGTACATATTTAATGTCTATTTCATTGCTCATACGAAACCTCTTAACTATAAATTACTCTTAAAATCGAAACGTGTTGCATGCAGTGGCCCAGGAGGAGTCTCGCTCGACGCCCGCACTGCTGACCAGCTCCAGCTCGGCGCTGGAGAACAGCGTGCTGTCGCTGGGCGTGTCGCCGGAGCACTCGTTCATCGAGAGCTGCGCCCGTCTCTCCGTGTCGCTGGAGGGGCCGGGCATCTTTGCCATGACCAGCTCGCCGCTGCCGGCCAAGCGCGCTGGCAACGGCAACGGCAACGGCACTGACTATGACTACGACGACTATGTGGACGACGAGGAGGATAATGATGAGCTGGCCCACGACTTTGCCGCCGATCTGGAGCTGAGCAGCATTGCGCCGGCCACGCCGTCGCATCTGCAGCAGCAGCAGCAGCTGCGTGGCCTGCAGCAATTCAAGCAACGGCAGCAGCAGCAGCTGGCGGGCACAACGAGCAACTCACAGGACGACGACGACGACGAGGAGGACGACGAGGATGACGAGCTGACCACCGTGAAGCGTCGCTACCGTCAGAACAAAAAGAAGCCCTTGCCCAGCGGCCATCATCAGCGACGCCTGCGCACCGGCACCAAGAGCCTCGACGGCAGCAGCGATCGTCGTGGCAGCAATGCCGCCTCCACCGGAGCCATTGCTGGGCCCACAGCAGCCACCAGCGCAGCCCTGGGCAACAGCAGCAGCAATGGCGGCAAGCTGAAGCAGCCGCAGCGGACCTGCAGTCGCTGCAATCGCGGCATACGGCACAGCAGCTCGTGCAGCTCGAATTCTGGCGGCGCCGCTGGCTCCAATGGGGGCGCTGGCGGCATCGGCGTCACGGGCGGCAACGGCGGTGCCAACTCGGGCGGCATGACCATGGAGGAGCTGCGCGCCGTCAATCGCTATGCGGAGAGCACCAAGAGTCTCTCGTATTTGCCACAGGTGAGGGACAAGTTCTGGCCTGGTTCTAGAATATCCGTTTAAAAAAGGGCAATCAAATCAAATCCTTTCCCAAAAAAAAAAAAAAAAGAATACGAAACGATATCCTAATCCAATCAGCCTTCCCTTTGCCATTAGCAATCCTGCTCGAATTTTAAGTTCTGTATTCTATTTGCAGGTTTGAGCAAGCAAACTGCAAAAGAAATTCCGAATTAATCGATAGGCGATAAGTTTTTCTTGATTTGATGAATTTTTAACTCTTGATTTGTATTACTATTTTTACTTTCTTTATTTTGATTTTATTTTAATTTTCTGTAATATTATCATTTACGCTGTTTATTTGTTTATTTTCCAATTGATTATCAATTTTGTTTAATTATATATACTATTTTTTGTTGTTTAATTTTTCTTAATTTAATAACCTTTGGACGGCCGCCCCCCATGCCACGCTATGAACTTTTTCCCCTCCCTCTCACCTTTATTTCTTACTTACGAAATTGTGTTTTTTTTTTTTAACTAATCGAAAACAAACAACAAAAACAAAAACAAGAATGTTTTGGATTTAATTTCTCAGAGTTTTGAACGTTTGCCTTTTTTTCTCTCTCTCTCTCTCTCTCTCTCTGTCACTAGTTTTGTATTTTATTCTATGCTCTTTATACTATATACTTATATATCTTACTAAAGCTGCGCCTGCAACAACAACAACAAAAACAACAACTACCACTTACAGACTCACAAATACACAAACACACACACAAGCTCACAAATATATTTATATATATATATGAGTACATATATAAAAGAACAATTTAATTTTACATTTAAGTATATTTTTAAGCAAATCTGGCACTAAAAAGCTCAGAATAAAACTCGAAAAAAAAGTACAAAAACTACACAAAAAAATACACACATTTAATTATGCAAAAAATGAAGAGGAGCAAACAACAAAAATAACTGTACTTTGTTCATTTTTTGTAACTACATTCAAATCATTTTTAATTTTATTTATTTTACATGTTCTTTAGCCAAACTTTCAAAGTGAAGAAGAAAAAAAAAAAAAAAACAAGAATCAACCAAAAATCAACAAAAATTTTATATAAAATATAAAACAAAATTTTACAGAAATTCTGTTACATTAATTCTTTTTCCATCAAATAAAAAATAATATAAATAAATATTCCATCAACTTTTTTTTCAAACAAAAACTAAAGAATTTAGGCACTGTACATATACATATTTATTTATAAGTTTATAAATAACTCAAGCAAATCATGTCTTATCATTGTTTCCCGAATGTGTTCAGACAATTAAACATAGTTTGTATATCTTATCATTATAATAATTATTTTCTTATGTTGAAGCCAAACTAAAAATACAAAAAAAATCACACACAAACTGCTGCACAAACACAAACGAATTTGTTTTTTTTTTTTTAGCTATCTAGTTAATAGCTTAAGTTATGTTTTGATTAAGCCACGCAATTGTTGAATTTGCATTGTTAATTGTTAATTGTTTATTGTTAATTTGTAGTTTTGTTTTGTTGTCGTCTTGTCGTTGCCTCAATTAACCCAACCAACTCTTTGTTTGTAGTCTGTGCTCGTATCTTGTCTCTTGTATCTTGTTTCTTTGTCTTTTAATTTGTAGTTTGCAACAGAATTAACACAGATTAACAAACACACACGCACACTCACACACGCACACACATATACACCTCGAAGAGCTCCGCAACTGCATATGAAATTTCTTTCATAAATAATATAAACTATATACATATATACAATCTTTTGTATGTTTCATAAAATGTGCTCAGCAAACGCTTGTTGGCGGTTCCCTAATTATTATTTATGTATTAATTTATTATCAGCTGCAAATTTGTTTGCTTCAATCTTATTTGAAAAGGGTTATTCACAAGTGACTAAAAAAAAATGAAATATATTATATGTTACTTGAAATCTTATGCTATTCCTGTGAATAACCTTAGTAAATATATTTATTTAATAATATTTTTGATCGCACTTTTTTCTCTGCTGCGCTGCCTTCAAATTTGTGTAAATAATTACAAAATTCTAATTTAAAATTGTTAACACCTCTTTTAATTATTACAATTTTCGTTTGTATTTTATTTATTTCTATCTTTTTTTTTTTTTCAATTTATTTGATTTATATTGAAAATCTACAAATCTACAAATTAAGGAAAACAAATTTAAAATTCAGCTTTTAAAAATTAAAATAATAAAAATTCCTATTTTAATTATGAACAAAATCGAATACTTTAAATGCCAAAACTCTAATGCGAAATTTTTGAATCCCCGTCTTCCCCAAATACAACAACAACAACAACACATCACAACAACAACAACAACGACACATGACAACTACAACAACAACAACAATACAACAATATCAATGCAAAAATCTTACAAATTATATAAATCACACACAAAATTGTGTTAGGTCCATGAACGCCAAACCGCACGCATGCGCACCCGCTCCGAATGGTTCTTGGGGCCACGGGATGCGGTCGTCTCGCTGCAGCTGCCGGCGGACACGTGCAGCAACTGCTGCCTGGCCGTCGCCGCCGCCGCTGCCGCTGGCTACCTGGGTGGCGGCAGCACGCGCGACATGCGCCAGACGGTGGGCGGCGGCGTCGGCGGTGCCGGCGACATCGAGGCGGAGCGCAGCCAGGCCGCGCTGCTCTATCACTTCTATCGGCGGCAGCGGCGCGAACGCGAACTGGAACTGGAAAGGGAGCGGCAGCCGCAGTCGCAGCCGCAGCTGGACGATATGATGGACACCGAGGACAGCTACAGCTACAGTCGTCAGCAACAGCAGCAGCAGCAGCAGCAACAAAAACAACAACAGCAACATATACATTCCAAGGGTCTGCTGCGACCGCCGCAGCAGCAGCAACAGCGTCGCCTGTTGCTGGACGCCAATTCGGGTAGTTATAAAACGGCAGCAGCACTAACCAACAATCACAATCAATTCACCAAGAACGCACCTGCTGCCCAGCAAATGCTTAACAACAGCAACAACAGCAGCAGCAGCAGGGGCAATAGCAGCAGCAGCAGCAACAGCAACAGCAATAACAACAGCCTGATGTTGCCGCATGCTCGTAGCTTTCATCTACACGAAACAACATTGAACAACAACAGCAACAACAACAACAACAATACGTGCTACTACTCGACACAGAATCTGTCAGCCGCTGCTGCTGCAACTGCTGCAGCAACTGCTGCTGGCGCCGTTGGTGTTGTTGTTGCGCATGTGGACAGCGCCAGCCACAAGATTGACTCGGACAGCGACTGCGATTCGCTAGATGGCCGTGTGCTGCACACGCTGCAGGCGCATGAGCTGCAGCAGCATGTGCAGCCGACATTGCGTCAGCTGCGCCACTCCACGCCGCTCATGCTGCAGCGGCGTCAGCGTCAGCGGCAGCGCCAGCGCTTGGACAGCAATGCGTCCGCTTTGTCGCTGTATCAGTCGTTTGAGACGCAGCGCGGCAGCAGCAGCAGCATCATTTATCGCAATGACAGCAGCAACATCAACAGCAACAGCAACAGCAACAGTCATGCCAGCAGCAGCAACAGCAGCAGCGGCAACAGCAACAACAACTTTGTCACAGTCATTTTTAACGTTTTGGATTTCCTGTTTTGAAATTTCTGTTATGTTGCAAAATATGTTTTCATTTGTAAAATCATCGCTTAACCAAAAAAAAAAAAGAAACAGTCTGCAAGTGGCATGTCCTGTGTGTTGTAGATGAATCCAGTAAAACTCCCGACGAACTCATTGCGCTCATTTGTACTCATGCAAGAACTAACATTGTAATTTATATGCATACATATATGTATACAGGAAATGTCTCAGCGATCTCTGAACTTTGTCCCCATGCAAAATTTGTCGAAGCATCGCCATGAATGTTGTTAACTTATTAACTTGTAATTTGTGTAAATCACGCATTAATTAACGTCGCCTGCCTTGTCAGATATGATAGGCTGACCTGGTCAGTCGTGTCTAATACATATCCTAAATATTATATATCAAATATAGATGTATATTAAATAATATAAAACTTAATCTTCGATCAGCTCATCCCTCTAATATATATCTCTGCAGAGTTTAGCTGCCTTAAAATCAATTTCTAAACGATATTTGTTTAAGTAGCCTTTCTATGCAATTCTCAAAATCCAAAGTTAGCTCATTATGAGTTAGAATAAATAACAGAACTAGGGTTAAATACAATATTGCGAATATTCGTCGAATATCCATCCATTGCATGCATAAAAAATATTTATTAAAAATTAAAGATCATTTGATTTTGTTACCTAAATATTTATTTTTAATTCTAATTATAATTATTGATAATTATTCGATATTGTTTTATGTGTAGAACGCGTGCGCTTTCAGAAATTTTCAACATATTTCTTATCTTTTTTTTTGTCTGAATGCTTTTTATGTGTAAACAATTAGTATTTTGTTTGTATACAATAAATATTTACATTTATTTATTAAATGTTAAGCTTTTGTTTTGTTTAAATGTTTTTTTCTTTTCTCTTGTATTTCGTATATATGACATTTAGAAATTGTTGTAAACACACTTCACATCAACACCCACACACACACCCACACACATCTATTGTAATTGTTGTTTCTATTATTATTATTATTATTATGATTATTTTATGTGTACTAACGCAACCCAGAAGGAAGAAATTTTGTGTTTTATGTTTGTGTTTTTCTTCATGTATGCTTTGAGTTGTTTTTGGCTGTTAGCAACACGCCCAGTCGTAACGGCAACCACAACAACAACCATCCGACTAAATCCATAAATGAAACAACAAAATAATATACAATCCATATAAAAGAAAAAACAACGTCCCATTTTTAATGTGAAGCCCTGCTCAAATTCATAAACAAATTTTATTTTTCGTTTCTCTTCTCTCTCTCCCCCTCCGCCATCCGATGTGTGTACATATACATATACATAAATAACTGTATGCGATCAATGCGTAACCTGTGTATATAAATCCGCATTTAATCAGTTGGCAACATCCGTTTGAGTAACAGCGCCGAGTCCATACAGTACACAGCGCGTCGACCCAACATCGTCGGCAATCCCAACAGCAGCAACATCAACATCATCAGCAGCAGCAGCATCAGCAATCCCAACAGCAACACACGCCGCCTGCTCATCAACGTGCCGCGGCAGTATCCGCTGCGCTCCTCGCTGCGTCGCCACAAGGAGAAACAGATCGGCGGCAGCCAGAGCAACAGCAGCAACAGCATCAGCAACGAACAGCTGACCGGCAGCACGGCGCCAGCGGCAACAGTTGGCGGCGCAGCGGCAGCCGCTGCAGCTGGAGTGCCGCTGAACAAGCCGCTGTTGCTGGTGGGCCTGCTGCCGGGCGCCGAGCAGCCGCCGTCTGTGCGCAATTCCATAGCGGACTGTGGCAGCCACGACTACGACAAAATGGACACCATGGAGCACCAGCTGAGCTTGGAGTGCAGCACAACGCTGAGCTTCAAACCGCCGCGGCTGTAACAGCAGCAGCAGCAGCAGGAGCAGGAGCAGGAGTAGTTCAAGTTGGAGGCAAGCGACGCAGGCTCAAGTAACATTAAAAAAATAAAAATAATAACGATTTAATGGATTTAATATTTGACTAGCGTTTAATTAAATATTAAATGTAATCTAACACACACACACAACCACACACAAACACATTTATATATTAACATATATATGTACTTGTATTTATGTGTATAGCAAGAAAAGGCTGATTTTCTTTAGTTAATAACGATAAAATTTAACGGATATTGCAACAAATTGCCAAATTTTATTTGAGACAAGTGAAAAGCAAATTGCAAACAAAAAGAAACTACGAAATGAAATGGAATGGAATGCATTATTTTATTATTCGAATACGTTGCATTTTATATATTATTTCCAATTTGATATCTGATGAATCTCTGCAATTAAATTTAATTCAAAACTGCATTCAAATTCAATTCACTCGAAACACATTGTCAACCGGAAACTCTTAGGCTAGCTGCATTTCTTATAGAAACAATTGACCTGAGCATAAACAGAGATATCAAAGCAACAACGAGAAACAAACAAACAAACAACAAATGCTAAACACAGTTTGAACAATATTTATTGTATATAGAATATACACGATTTTTCAACTTTTCAAAGCAAAGACTCGCCCAGCAATCAAAATAAAAATAAAAGCGTTCAATATTGTTAGAACCGTAACTCAAAAAGAACTCAATATTATATATTATATACGTAAAAGTACAAAAACAAGGTCGAAAAAATTAAAAAAAAAAAAAATAAATAATTAATAAATAATTCAAAAGAATGAATTGCGAAATATACATACTATATTATGCCACACACATACTTATAAAAACCCATTGTATATATATACAAATATGTAGCATTTAATTGATAATATTACTTAATATCTAGGCGTCAAGAAAATTCAAACAAAGTTGTAATTATATTTATAGCTAATGTCTGTGTGTCCAAAAAACAACAAAAAACTAAAAAAGAAACTATACGGTATAAATGTTTACATATAAAATGAATTAAAACTAGTGCTAGCACAGCTCGAGCAACCCACAGTAAAGGTGCAGAAGTGAGAATAGTTTAAACTCGAGTAATTAAACAAATTTCAAGCAACAATATCTATAGCCCAGTTAAGGTCAAGCAATCCCAACTGAACAGTATGTCATTATCCTCTGCATAATGTACGCTCCAAACTCGTTCACTGCCCCGCTAAATCCCCTGCATATGCCCAAAATCTGTACCATTTCCTAACCCATTACCATTTAACTGAAAAAACTTGCTGATATTTCGCGCAGTTTAGCGAAAAATCGAACAAAGTTGAGAGAAAATTCACTCGCTGTGCTGCAGAGAGTTCGTTTGACAAGAAAACAAGAAGATATGAAAACTTGAATTTATATATTTACATAAATGTAATTAGGCTTAGTTAAAGTTGAAAACAAAATTGAAGAATTTGGCCATTTCATACATAGTATGAAGCAAATTATGCTGGACCTACTAAAAAGTGAAATGAATACGCGCAACACCAATTTGTTGATTAGTAAACCTTTTATTACCAACATCATTTTTATAATGCCCGTTTATGTTAGGCTATAAGCTAAATATATAATAAATATATATATTATTGTATATGTATAAATCTTACATAGTACGATTTCGAGTGAAGTACATTCATTAGCCCTTAAATATTATAAATCTTATGTTTATTGTATATGATTAAAAAAACAAACACACACACACAAAACAAAACAAATGAAAATGGTAAAGCATACAAAATGTGCAGGGTCTATTTCCATATTTAGATAAAATACATCAAATTTTATAATTCTGCTGCGAATGCATTTCGAATATATTTTTAAACAAATTTCGCTTCATTTGTATATATAAACATATATATATATATATATATATATATAAAGAACAAAAATAAATTGACATTCTTTGTTTCTTTTTTTCATAACAGAAAACAGAAAAAGTTGCATAGAAATTGTATACAAAACTTCTTCAAGATAAAATGTAACCAATTATTGAAATGGGAAAAATAAATAACTAAATTGAAACATTTGAGACCTGAAGAAACTAACTGAAAACCTAAGTGTGATCTGCTTAAATGCGAGACGTTCGAACACATTATTTGGTCAGCTCTTTTAGCTTATATCCTATAAAATTCACAATCTGTGGGCTTAATTGTACAAGGCTCTATCGACTATGATGCCATGCTCGATGAGGAAACTCTCCACATCGGAGGCGAAGAAGTCGTCGCTCAAATCGTCGGTCAGCCGCACAAAGTTGCCAATTAGCGCTTGGGCCTTGTACACTAATAGAGCGGGCAGGCCCTTGGTGCGAAAGTCACGACTCATGCCCGCCACAGAGCTGCAGATCTTGGCAAACTTTATGGATGGATAGTCGCTGGCCAGCGTGTCTAGGCAGCTGTTGAGCGTGGCGCAGGCCGATTGACTGCGCTCGTATATGTGTATTATAATCGTCGTGTGCTTATTCTCTTCCTCCACACAGGAGAGAAACTCCTCGTGGGTGCTGAGCTGCAGCACCTTGCCGAACTGCTGGTGGTGGCCTGTTTGGCGCAGCATTTCGGCCATGCGCTGCTTTTGATATTGCTGTAGAAAATCTTCGCTCATCAATTCCGCAAATTCTGCGTCCAGTTCCTCTTGGCGTTTGCGTTCCTCGTCCTCTGCAGATGTTGCAGTCGTCATGCTGAGCTTTTTAGCCAAAGCCACACGCTGCCGTTCGGTTTCTTCACGGCGCTCGGCTTCGAGTTGCTTGAAACGCTGCCAGTCCTGCACCACTCCCTTGGGTCCGGTATTGGTCGAGCCTTGCTGGCGAAAGCCGCCCGGTGGTGCCGCATTAGGATCCGTGTTGATTGTCAATCCGGAGCTAGCAGACCCTTTGCTACCGCGAGCACCTTGCTCGTCGTCGCAGTCGCCGTCGCCGTCGTCGCCATTGTCTTCGCCTTCGCTGCTGCTGCAGTAGTACTCTAGCTTTTCACCTAATAGCTTGTCCTCTAATGTGGCCATGATTGCGGTTTAATTTATATTTTTCTAATTTAATTATAGAAAATTTATCAAAAGCACTCACTCCGAGGTATACAAAAGTATCGATATGTTTTCAGCAACAGCTGATTGTGTAGCCGCATTTGGTGAATGGCAATTATGCCAAATACTATCGCAACTCTAAATGGAAATATATCGTTTGAGTTGGTGCGAAAATTTCAAAAGTTAATGCTTTATTTTGTGTGTGATACGAATTATATTAAAGATTTTCTGCAGCTTATCGGGCACTTCAAACTGGTCAATTATCTGCTCCATGCTATTGAAGTCGGCCTTTTCCAATTCATCGCATGAATCATCATCACTGCAGTCAGGATCCGATAGTGTCAAACGCTCGGCAAAGGAGACTATGCCGCACCAGGCGCGAAAATCCAAAATTCCGTTGCCATCCTGCTTATAGTCCAAATGATGAAGTGTATTTTGTACATTTTTCTCATTGCCATGAAACTCTAAAACATCCTCCAGGGCCTGCGGCAGACTACGCCAGACCATTGTGCGCTCTTTGTACTCGATGAGAGTCGCATCATCCGTTTCCGCTTCCGGTTCTTCGCAACGGTTTAAATATTTGAGGAAAACGCGCTTATAGAGTTGTTTGCGTTGCTGCGAGACCCAAACGTACTTGCTGAGGTAGTCCCATGGAGTCATGTCTGCAAGAATTGAATATTACATTTAAATTTATATGAAATTAATGCTGTATTAGGTACAAACTCTTTAGCATGGCCAAGTCCATGGGGACATCGAAACGCGTGGCGGATTTGGAGAATTTCCGTGGCATTTTCGAATTCGTACCAACAGTTTTGTCTACTTCTTCGACTGCCTTATGCACTGGTTTGGGTATGTATTTAATGGCCTCGCGCAGTGCGCGATTAAGCTGCAGGTAAAGTTATTAAAAAGAAGCTTGGCTTCTCGAGCTGTATTATCATCATACATATCTGCCAAAGGTGTTCTCTATTAGATCTACTGTTAGATCTGTCTTAAGTGCCTGGAACGCCTCATCGGTTAGGAAGCTGCCTTTGAGCAAAATGGGCTCCCGCTCCACCTCGCGCCGATCCTTGGGCAGTAGGCCAGCCGTGTTGGGTATCAAGCTGGGTCTGGTGCTGGCATTCAGTGAATCGGGTCCCAATGCAGCCACCTGAGTCTCTGGATCCTCGCTTAGGTGAAATGTTGTGGTAGCTAAGAGTATGTTTAATAGTAATTTTTGTATTTAGGAGTAGTAATATAGGACAGCAAAATCTTGATGAAATTCGAAATCTTAGCTAGTTTCCTGAATTTAGTTCCTGTTTATCTATGTGATTTACGCACCCGGCGTTGGCTTTAGCCTTTTACGTTTCTTGCCCCGTCGCGCGTCGTCGTCGCTCATGTCGTGCTCGTTGATGCAAATCTTGTGTGGCTTCGGTTCCATCTCCGCATGCTCATCATCTCCAGGCGAGAGGGTCGCCGTAGCTAGCGAAGATTTAGGTCTTTGCTCATTGGACTGCTGGTGGCGTGGCTTCTTGTCCTCGTTGGCACCCGCGCTCTTTGGCTTCTTGCCCTCCTCGATGCCACTTTGTGTCAGCTCCGAGCTGGGCTTCCAGTAGAGCGTCTCCTGCGAGTGCGTGCGCCGCAGATCCAATATGATCTTCTTGCGCTGAATGTTCTCGTGCTTGCCCCACTCCGGCGTGATGCAGCGCCGATAGAATGAGCCGGCACTGGTGCGCGTGTGGATGCTGGTCACTGTTGGTGTCGGCGTCATTGGCCGGGAATCGGTTTCAGCATAGCGCCGAAACAAATCCTCGGGTATATTGTCCGCTTCATGTGGCTGCAATTGCTGCTCCAGTGGCTTCTCCTTGGCCGCGTGCGTCACGCACTTGCCTTCAATGGCCAGCGATGTTTTCAGCTGGTTGATGACATCCTTCACAGCCGGCGGCGCCGGGTGGTTGCAGAGCACGGAACAGCCCTTGGCGAATGGATTGAATAGCCCACCAAACGGACGCAGCGATAGTGGCATCGGCTGTGCCTCGAATTTCAACGGCATACGCGAATCGTCGCCATGGTGATTTTTCCTCTGTGGAAGCATACGCTCACGTTAGACGAACATCTGCACAGCATATTCTAGTGGACGCCTGTTCCGTTACCTTTCTCACATATTTGATATGCCGCTTCGGCGTAGGCACCAGCCCGCTGCGTGTGGTGCCGCTCATCGTTCACAGAAAACTATTGCGAAAAGTTACCAAAGCCCTCGGCGCTTTATAAACAAACCGGGATCGTTGCCATGGCATGGGCCAAGCCAGCGCTTCGTTCTGTTATATGGATAGCTGGCAGTTCTATTCCCCCATACGCGGTGTCAGATACATGTGCAATGCTTCATTTTTTCTTTTCACGCCTAGAGGCGTGTCAGTTTTGATATGTGTGCAATATGAAAGCTAACCACGGAAAGCTGTAAAAGAGAAAGCCAAATTGGAGTTTTGGGAGATGCCTATTTCTTACCATTTCGACTTTTGATTTGTGTCCTACATATGTATTTATGGTTTAGCTTGGGAGGATTGGTAATTAAAATGAGGGAAAAGTCTAAAATAAAGTTGTATGCATACAAGACTAAGCCTGAGCTTTTAATTTTATCTTATTCCAGAGGATTTTTTAACCATAAATTGGTGTCCTATCTACATAAATTATTTATATGGAATAATATATAATATTATATAATAATATATTCATTGAAATAAATATACAAAAGAATATTGGATATATTTTAGAATATATCCTTTCAATATTATTATATAATATTATATAAATATTAAAACAAATCGGTTCACTATATACATAAAAAGGTTTCATATGCACAAGCTGTTCAAGCTTCAGCCTTTTGATGGTATTACTTATTCGTAAGTTATTTAAAATTCCCCTGCACAATTCAGGCTTCTATTAAATAAATCCCACTCCCGATACCAAAATGAAAATCACTAACATTTGTAATTACAACATTTGTATAAACACTTTATTATTCCATATATCAGTTTGTTGTTGTCTCTTATAACTAAAATTTAAGTAATTGAAATTTGAGCGTTTGGCATTCGGAGCTGCTCCTCAGTACAAGGAGCCACGATGATGCAAGTGCCTCAAGCGCTGATCCAGCAGCTGGCGCTCACTGGACAGCGACACCGAGGAGGAGGTACGGTGTATGGGCGGCAGCACCTCGGTGCCAGTGGCAATCGTGACATTGGGCATCGTTGTCTCAATGGGGCCGAGGCCGGCGGTGTTCCCCACAGCGCGGGAGCGCAGCAGGTGGTTGCGCAGCGTGGAGCGGGAGCGGCGGCGTAGCGAATTGTTGAATGAGATCTGCAACGAGAGGCGTTTCTCGGAGAGCGAGGCCAAATGCTCTGGCGACAGCTCAATTACCTGCGAGCTGACCTGCGAGCCACTGGCGCTGGCCGCCACCATGGCAGCGGCTGTGGCGGCACTGTAGCTGGGCAGCGACCCAGTGGGCGAGGTGCCGCCACAATTGCAGGTGATGGAAGTAATTGAAATGTTATCCGCATTGACATCGCTAGCCGCGGTAGTCTCCACCAGGCTATAGGAGACGGCAGGCTCCTTGGCCCCGCAGGCCTCATTGCTGGTGCTTTCGAAGATCTTGATGACGGGCACAAAGGAGGGCGTTAGTATAATGCCCGCCTTACGGAACTCCTCGAGTGCATCATCGTAGGTGGGCAAGCCCGAGACAATGGTGTAGGAGGGCAGAGATTCGGCTTCGTACTCAGGCGGGCAATGGCGGCAGACTTCAATGGTGGCATCGCCATGATTGGCACGATCTGAAAACAGAAGAGGAAAGGAAATTAAATAAACATAATCCAGCTGACCTGCTAATGCCCTGAAGTGGAATGATATATAGACATAAATATCTGTAAATGGAAGGCCAGTTGCTTCCCCTACTCCCCGTTTTATGCAACTCTCAACTCGCTGCCGGAACTGCCAGCAAAAAGACAAAAGCAATCCGAATTGCCAAATCAATTCCGTTGTACCTTTGGGACTATGCAATGCCCCCATCTTTACCCACTTTTAGTAGTGGCTGGGGTGTGGGTACCGGCATGTACATTAATGAAATTTTTATGTTTGAATGTCGCAACGTTTTGTTGAAAGCTACTAAAAACTGCTGCCACCGGAAATGTGCAACCTGCGTCCAACCCTTAAAAGTAGGCAACACAACTTTTATTGCAATTGCCCTGTTCTACAATGTGGGGAAATGCCCAATGCCCTCCTCCCCCCCACATAGAGGTGAGTCAGCAACCCACCCGCCAGGAGAACTACAGAGGAAACTGTTGATGCGGCAAGCGTTTAGAGACGTGCTACACGATTTTGAAGATTAGCCGCATGCTGCGTGGCTTTAAAAAACACACGAAAATGGCGCACGCTTCGATTCACACCCTTTTGTGTGGGTGGAAATGCAGAAGCTTGCTGGCTGGGGTGTGGTACCGGAAAAACCGGGAGCGTTTTCACACCCACATGAACGGACGTTCATTTTTTATGCAACGCTTTGTAAGCTTACGAAATTAAATTGATGATGCACACAGGGCACAGGACGAGCAGACAAAATGGAAACTCATTGTCATTTGTGTGTAGGCGGTGGGCGTGTGGGGGGCGGGGAATGGGGCCTTAAGGGTAGTTCAACCATATGGCAAAACCCCACTTTGACTCTGTAAAGCTGCTCAGTTGTGGAAGCAGCTTAGCAAGCTTAAGACTTTATGTAATTTTCAATTGACTTTTGTTTAATTGCGGTAAAGTAGCTTCATTTGGTGATATATCGATGGTACATACATACTTACATACATATGTCTGTTACATGTGTAACGATCGATGTTTTTGTGTGCTAGGATAATCGATAAGTGTAATGGAGCAGCGACTGCCCACGTAATTTACTCAATTAAAATAAATAAATAAATCTACCTAGCATTGATCTGGATTTTTCCAAGCAATGAGCCTGCCTGCATTTTAATTATCTGAAACACTGAAGTACTTACTCGATGATTTACTCAACATTGATCTACTATGTTTTTGCGTGGAGAGTATCGATAGCTGCGACAAAGCGATGACTGCTCATAACTAATTTCCGTCAGTCTGGCAGCATTTTTCCTACTCAAACGTCGATGCTTAAAGTCTGTGTTAAAGCTGCATCAAATATTAAATTATGAGATGGATGGAAGGCCACTTAAAAGCTTCATTTGATGAACTGTCTGTCGCCATAAGCCCCAAGGATATACGCATTTCAATTCCCCAAGCGCAGCTTAGCACCACAATAAAATGAAGTGCAGCAGTAAAACGAATGAAACGGAATATGTATGTAAAAGTATACAATATATGTATATACATACATACATACATATATAAGAAGGCACAAAGTGTAAGTGCGTTGTGCATAAAGTATGCGCCTCAAGTTATAAGCCAAAAGCAAAATGGACACCAAAAACCTCACTAGTCAATATGCTAAAGGTCATGAGGAACCCAAACAGATATAACTAGGACGCAGTGGTAGCAGCGCCGGCTTAGAGCAAGAACAACAAAGCAAAAAGCATAACCTAAGGCAGGCTAAAGATATTTGGGCGTTCACGAAAAAGTTAAACACAGTTTATGTTAAGGGGGGCTATGCGTTAGTGCTTCTATCTTCTTCTTCTCTTCTTTCTTTTTTTCTTTTTTTTGAGGATTTGGGCGCCAATAGCAAAGGAAAAAAGAAAACAAACGACTCAGCCCAAAGCACCCAAAAATGACGTGCCCAGTAGGAAGGTTTGGCGAATGGCGGCAAGACCCTGGGCCCTCCACCGCCTGGCAGGCATAACCAAGAATAACAACGGCCCCATTGAACGGCAGGATAAGGTCTCGTTGTGTGATACTCGCCAGGCACGTAAGCAGTTGCTGCCCCTGCGGTAGCGTCCCCAGCCCCCCCCCCCCCCCCCCCCCCCCCCATTCATCAAGGCAAGGGCGCACAAAAAGAAAACAGCAGAAGCCACAGTTTTGGATGCTGCTGCTGTCGTTCGCTTGTACGTTGTCCTCTGTCCTTGGGGTTGGTAAACACGGCACCAAATTGCCGTTTAAATTTCTCCCTTTGTGTGGGGCATGGGCGGCCTTGAAACATTATTTTGACTACTGTTAGGTGCTTGCCTCCAAAAATACCTCGCTGCCCTGCTCCAAGGCCCCCTTTGGCAGCTCTGCTTCAACTTTATATTTGAAGTTGTGGCAGTCAGACAATGTCTGGAGAATTATCCGGTAGGCGTTAACTGCAACCAATACCTCCCAGTGGAGTCTGATTCTCGTCAAGCACTTGAGACGCCCAAAGGTTTATGCGTCTGGCCTAAAGGTAAGAGGATTTCGCTTAACTAATTAAACTTGTTCCCAGGTACATGCAAATATTTTTTGTTTTCGGTCCACTCTCGTGTTGTTTTTCGAGTCTACTCCTGAGCAAATTGCATGTTTTTCTTTGGCTGCGGCGTTGTGGAAACAAGAAAAATGATTATGAACATGTTAGCTTGGCTGAACAGAACATGAGAACAGGACAAGAATGCTGAGTGTGGTTCGATCTTAAAGGCTCTTAGATGAGCTACAAAACGAATGTCACACATAAACTGTAAGAAATAATCTATGTAATCCCTGCGAGTTATTTTAGTAATATATTTATCAACTCTTAAGTAACTTAAGCAATCTTCTACTATTTTAGTTTTGTTAAACTCCTTGTAGTTTAACGTAGCGCATTAAAACTAACTGCTAAATTATTAGGAAAGTAACCCATCCATCTCCGAGATCTTTTGGTGGGGGCGCTGGCCGCCGACTTCACCGTGCGCAGGCGAAAACAAAAAATGAAGAAAAATTGCGGCATGTCAGTTAGAGGCACAACAACAATAAAAAGGGACAAAACAGACAACATGAAGAAGACATTGCCAGAGCAGCGAACACGCGCCAAAAGCATTCAACAACAACATTAACAACGTAGGAGAAGGAGGAGCCCAGCATCGGCATCAGCATCTGTGGCGTCCAGGACGAAAATGTAATAAGTGTGTCTATTTGTTCGCAAATATTTCATTTCCCGTGCCTTTATTTCACTTCGCCGGCGCAAAGACGCCGCGCACACAATGCGTTTATAGTCGCTTAGAAAAATGAGCGAATCACGAAAACGAAACCCCAAAAACTTAATTTAACTTTATGATAACAATGGCCAAGATATTAGGCGACAGTGTTTTCACATCTGATTATCTTCTTGCTTGGGTCAGGTAAACTGAAAAGCTAATAACGTTGATGAAGCTGCTTGCCTTATAAGTTAATTAATTATAGGCTAATATTGGATATATATTTCATTTAGATTGCAAGTAAAAATAGAACAGATGTCTGTGCGAATTAATAAAGTTAAGTTAGACATAGGTACAGGTATTTGTAAAAATATATTTTTACTACAGATGAATATTCAAGTTTTTTATGTGAATACACAGAACCCTTAAAAAAGATATTATTCAATACCGTCAATAGTCATTTAAAATTAACGCTTCTCTGCTAATTTGCAAATGTGATCGATTCGATTTCAGATCCTGTTAAGAGCCTGTAAGTTAACATACGGCAAACAGGTGTGCATAAAGTCATCGATAGCTTTAGCTTTTAAATAAAATTCATGAAAGTACACCTCAAACTGCAGCACGTATAATGACTTTAATTTAAATATAAAAAAATGGAAGTGATTTTTCTATGCTCCACATATATTTCAGTTTATTTTTAATTTGAGTTGAAAGCATTTGACTTATAATGCCGCATAGGCATTTGGAGTAATTTATGCAGTGCACCACGCACATGTTGCCACAGCGTTAAATGTTATTAAAAACAATATAAACAACTTGCCAATGGTACGGGGTCGGTCCCGGGCCAGGGTTTTTAGTGGGGTTCCGGCCGGAGTCGTCGTAGCACGTTGTTTATGTGCGTCGGCGGCGTCAATGAAAAGTGGACCGCAAAGTACCAGTTGGTACTACCAGTACCAGTAAGAGTAGTAGCAGCAGCAGCAGCAGTATGTTTAGTAGTGGGGCGGGTTGGAGGCGGAGCTCGACATTGCTGCGGCTGGCTGTGCCGCAATTTTCAAATTGACTTTTGCACATGTTGCCCGGCGTAACAAAATGCGGCCAAACAGTGTACACACACTTCGGGCATGATATAAAAGAGAGAAGAAAATATACACAATAGGCCTGTGCGCTACCTTTTATGTGTGCGTGTGCTTGTGCGCTCACCACGAAATAGCACAAAAAGTTGAAGAAAAACCGCATAAAACGAAGAAAAATAACACCGAAAGATGCACTGGAGGCCACACTTAAAACGTGCCGATTGGGCGCGTGAGCCGCATAGTCAAAACGTTTTGGCTTTACTGCCAAATATGGGTTGGCAAGAGTCAAATATCTATCAAAACGACATTAGCAGGGCTAAGCAGCAGCTGCATTGCTTTCAAATATACGTTATATTACCATTATCGATAATGTAAGAAAATATGTATATCGATTGATCTTTTGTTTTTGGTCTCTGAACGTTGTCATATGTTAAATAACAATAAATTAGCATGTTAATGTTAATAACATTGCAGAAAACGTTTTAGTCTTGCCACATCGTTTTGAATAACCAAGATCTTAAAAGGGTGGCAATAATGATCTGCTTTGTTATTGTCTGGCAGCACGAATAAGTGAACCAAGTTCACTCAACCACCATCTGGCAATGCTACTCAAAGAACAAAAGAGACGAAGTGAGTGAGAGCGACAAAAGAGAGAGAGAGCGCGCAAGAGCGTTAAAAAAGTCTGCCAGCGGCGTCAGTGGATTTAGTTTTGTTGTAGTGGCCTCAGTGGTGCGCGTTGCTGTGCTCACAAAGTAACAATAATTATAATAATTTAAACATAAAAAAGGTGTAATTAATTAATATAAAACGCAAACTATTCATTTGCTGTTTTCTGACATGCTGAAAATGACAAATGTGCCGATGCCGAACACGCTTAAGCTGGGCAGCGCCGCAGCAGCGACAACAAAAAAGACACAGCATAATGGTGTAGCGGCCGTCGCAGCTGCGTCGCTGCGCTGCGCAACAGACGACACGGACGAATCGGACGAGGACTCTGAGTCGGATTTGGATATTGAAGAGGAGGACATATTGTTGGACGATGCCGATGATGTTGTGCTGCAAATTGATAGCGAGGACGAGGCCGAGTTGGAAGCGCAGCGTATACGCTTGGATGATATGAAGGCAGCGGCCGCAGCAGCAAAGTCGCAGGTCAGTAACGGTAAAACGACAGATGCAGCGCCGCAGCAGCAGCAACAACAACAACAGAAACAGAAGCAGCAGTCAGAGACGCAGTCAGAGTCGTCGCAGTCGTTAGCTGCTGCACGCAAGCTGCGTGGGCGTCCACCGGGCAGCACAAATAAAAACAACAACAAAAACCAGAAAAACAAAAACAAACGCAAAAGCTCAAATAGCCCCAGCGCCAGCATTAGCGCAGGCGTCGCAGTTAACATGCCGGCCTTTGTCTCCGTCCCTGTTCCCGTCCCCGCTCCATTGCCCGTTGTAGCTGCCAAAATACATGCCGATGAGAAGGCGCACCGTTTCATTTACAGCTGCGCCAATTGCTCTCTGCTCTATGGGGATGCATTGGCGCTCTCTCAGCACTGGCACAAAGAGCACCAGCCGCAGCAGCTGATGGAGAGGGAGAGCAAACGTTTCAAAAGCAAAGCGCCCGCTGACGAACAAGTGAAGCTCGAGCCGCCACTGGAACTGAGCGATGGAGTTCGATTGGGCGATTTAAAGAACTGTGCGCAGCTGCTACTGGTGGACCTTCCAGAGGGGCTCAAGCAGCAGTTGCTCTGCAGTGTTTGTGATTCAATATTTGAGCAGAGCAAACAGCTGCATTTGCATCTCAGCGAGAGTCATGGCATCTGCAAGCTATTGGTGCCCAAAGAGGAACCTAGCGAGCCCATGGTCAGTATTCCAAGTGAGTCCGTTCAAGCTCTAGTGCAGGCGCTGCCACAGGTGCAGCTGCAGGTGCAGGTGCAAGCCTTGGAGTTGCCAGAGACACCGCCGCCAGAGAGTGAGACGGCTGATAAAGATGATCTCGCTATGATAAGCGCCATGGTGGCGGAAATTTCAGCCGAGCCCAAGGTTAAGAAGATGATTATCAAACTGCCGGTGGCCAAGCGGGCTCCTGCCCGTAAGCGCAAGAAAGAGGAGAAGCCAAAGCAGGAGAAGGAACAGCAAGAAAATAGTCAGGCCACAGTCAGCAATGACAGCCGTAAACGAGGGCGCAAGGCGCAAACGCCAGCACAGGTCGAGGAAGAGCAGATGCCGAAGGAGAGCGAAAAGGCGCAGGTGCAGCAGGAGAAAAAAGAAACAGAGCAAAAGCAAAGCAAAGAGCAGCAGAAGCAGAAGGTGGAAAAGGCGAGGGATGAAAAGGAGGAAAAGCAACCCAAGGAGCAGCCAGCAAAGAGCGGAAAAGAGCTTGAGAAGGATGATAAGGACCTGCAGCAGGAGATCAAAGAGGAATTGCAGCCGAGACGCGCACGCAAGTCTCGCAGCTATGTGGACTACGTGGTCGATGTGAAGGACGAGGACGACGACGACTTTGAGGAAGATAAAGACACTGATTCCGATGTCGATAGTTTGACGCTGCACAATAGCTCCACGGATGACAGCCATGCAGACGTCTCCATCAAGCGCGAATCATCCGAGGAATTGCAGCGCAATGGCACCGTCCACACCTGCAATTTTTGCAGCAAGACCTTTCAGCGCTTCTCACGGCTGCAGGATCATCTGCGTCTGCACACTGGCGAGAAGCCGCATGTCTGTGGCCAGTGTGGACGCGCGTTCCGACTAAAGATGCGCCTGGCCGAGCATCAGCTGCGGCACCGCACCGAAAAGGCATTCAAGTGCGAGTTGTGCGGCCTCCCGCTGGCCACCAAGCAGGACATGGCGCTGCACATGCGCCACCACAAGAACGATCGGCGCTACAAGTGCGAGCTGTGCGGCAAGGGCTTTGTGCGCAGCTCCGATTTGGCCATTCACGTGCGTGTGCACACCGGCGAGAAGCCCTACAGCTGTGACCTGTGCGGCAAGGCGTTCCGCGCACGCCAGAATCTCATTGTGCATCGGCGCACGCACCTGGGCGACAAGCCCATCCAGTGCGAGATGTGCGACAAGCGTTTCTCGCGCAAAATCGACATGCGCGTCCACATGCGCCGGCACACAGGTGAGTGATCAGGCAGCATCTGACGTCATTGCCTTCATCTAACTGTCCAAATTTTCTCTTAGGCGAAAAACCCTTTACCTGCAGCACTTGTCAGCGTGGCTATTCCTCGCGCGTCAATTTGCAGCGTCATCAGCAGCGCGAGCACAGCGGACAAACGGCAACCGAATCGAATAACCAAGCGCAACAGGAGTCTCCGGACAGTAGCAAGTCGAAGCCAGCTACGCGTCGTCCGCGTCGCGAGAAGCTGCAGGAGAAGATTGCCGCACAAGAAAAGTTGCTGGATGAGCTGAAGCGTAGCCTCAGCACGCTGAACGACATTGCCGAGGAGACACCTGCCACCCCGGTGCCGGAGGGCAAGCACAATTTGTCCGAGCTGGCAGCCGATGCGGGCGCAGGCACAGGCACAGGTGCTGGCTGTGCGCAGGTCTCGGTCACCGTTTCAATGCAAGTGGAACCGGCCAAGCGGGATGACGATGAGGAGACAACGCCGGAGAAGGAAAATGCACTGTCCAGTGGCTCAGCAACGGACGCTGTGGCCAGCAATGGCAAGACAAAGACTAATCGCAAGATTACAAGCTACTTTACGGTAGTTGGGCAGCAGGCGGAACTCTAAAGACTTATCAGACTCCAATCCACAACTCTTACTCATTAGGTTAAGACGCAACTGTACTTGAAATTCTGTAGCTTAGCGCAAACCTCGCAGACCTGGAGACGATTTCACTCTCTATAAGATTTTCCATTTTGCAGGGATTAAGTATTCTCTATGTATACAGACTTATTACCATAATGCATGAAGCAAACATTTTGAAGAGCGCGCACCATCTAAAGATAATCTAATTTTTTGCATTTAATTAACATTTACGAACAGAAAAGACTACGTTTTAAAAGCATTAATTGTATGAACAAACATAAAAAGAAAAAAACTAAAAAAAGAAAAAAAAAAAAAATGAAGAGACTGCAAAGAGAATATATATTTATGTATACAACATATTTTTGATATGGACAAACAGTCAAACTATATACATTGTAAATAATCTTAAGGTACCATATGAATTGTTAAAGCGAAGCACAGAACAAATCAAATTCCATTGAACTTGAATTGTTGTGGATTGCCAAGGGTAATATTTGGCATAGATCCATGACATTTCGACTTGAATGCGTTTATATAATTGTACACAAAAACAACAACAACAACAACAACAGCAGTCAATACAAAGAGTTGTTTTCATTTTTGTCATCCGAATCTGATTTGATATATGCAAATAATATGTAATTTAATGAATTATCGTTGAAGCGAGTAAATTGCCAGTCATGAATTATGCAATTTATGTTATGTGTAGATTCATTAACACATCGCACAATCAAATTCCAAATTGAATCTAGTTAAACATGCATGCATATTTCTATAGATGCAACCAGAAACACTTAATGCATACCCGACTCACGCAGCTCATTTTATATATATATATAATTATATATTTATTTCATAGTTTGGTTTAAGCAACTCATTCTTAAGAGATTCGCTCTCATCATCAGATTTCTCTCGAATCTTAAGCTAAGCGAAAAGACAAGCGCACGCATGAATTCTGCGATTTTTGCGGAACAAAGCATAATTTTTTGTAATTTAAGACAACGAGCATTTATTTAGATTATAAATAAGCCAAGATATCCAATGAAAATACATTTATTATGATTTCTACATATGCAATTGTGGCTTACTACTACAACCAATCAAGCAGCCCAACCAACCCCTGGTGCAATTACCTCAATGTCATTTGGGGTGTGCGTGTGTGTTTGCATCGAGTCTCTTGTACCTTTAGCGTGCTTTCGACGGCCTTCAGCTTCATGTTTATGGCCAAACAGCAGCCGCAGCAGCTGCTGCTACCATCAGCCCCTTTGTCAACTTTATAGGGCGTCTATTGGGATCGGCAAAGGGGGTGGGTGTGCACACGTACCAAATATTTATTGCGAGAGCAAATGTTAGAGAGCAAAACTCAAGATAGTTTGTCAATTCACAAATGGGGTGCATGTGGTTAAAAGGGGTGGCAACACCGAGAGCAAGAGCGAGCGAGAGAACGAAATGATCTAGTTCGGAGTGTGTCAAGGGAGTGGAATCAGCTCTGTTCAGCTGTAAAGTATTCGACATATTTGAAAGAGGCTTAAAAGGCATTTTCTGATTTATGCTCAACATATTCAATAAATTGAGTTGAAACTAAAATCAATAGCTATGCCATTTCCATAGTTGCCCATTGCCATGAAAATATTTTAGCATAGTTTACTTTCATTTAAATCGAGCATATTGTATATTTATTGTGTTGTTTATAATGGCGAAATGTTTTCTTTATTATTCTGCTCTTATCATCAGTAGCGCGTCGCTATGACAATTTATTTTACTTATATAAATATATGTATGTATATGCATTTGTGTATGTATTTTTTGACACTCTGGCGTAGCAGCATATCGTTTGTAAACAAAAGCGAGCGACAAACAAAAGCATGAAATCTACTTTTTTTTCTCTGTTGTATAAAGAATCAGCGAAAAACTAGAATAAAATAAATAAAAAAAAGAAAACGTTGCTAAGCAGAAAAAGCTAGAATAAAAAATGGAACAACAAAAAATTTGGTGGCTGCATGCGCTTTCAATGCAATATTACGCATACGACGTGGTGCCAGTGCACCGCGTGTCTCAGTGTGTGTGTAAGTGGTTGTGCTTGTGTGTGTGTGTGTGTCGCACAATAGCCAAAAAGATAGTCAACGTGACAGCTAACATGCAGACAAGAGAACGCAAGCTAACACACACACGCACACTTGGACTGATTCAACGATTTTTGTTGTGCAAAAATATGCAAATTAAGTGTGGCGAGCTTTGCTATCGTTGTTGTCATTGTTGTTACTGTTGTTGTTGTTGTTGCTGCTGGTGTAGAAAGCGTAAAAAAGCACACAACAACAATACCAACAAATATGATTAAAAAAATCCACAAACGTATACACATTATTTGGCTGACGGCTGTAGAAAGCAGGCAAGCCGAAAAAAACGAGTATACGCCCCGTTGTACAGTCAACAAAGGCAACGCCAACAGCGGCGCTGCTTTCCAAGCCTGCACTAGTGTGTGTGTGTGTGTGTGCGAGTGTGTCTGTGCTGATCGCTGCCGAAAGCCACAGTCTCGGCCGCAACCTCAGCCACAGCCGCAGCCGCAGCCAGAGTCGCAGCCCTTTTTGGCTGTGTCAGCATTTTCACACTTTTATGTGCTGTTGCCTTTTAATTGAATTTCGTTTCAGTCTGCGACTTTGTCTGTCTCTTCTTTTGATTTTTACGCTTTTGTTGCTCTTCTTACTTTTTTATCTTTTTTCTTTTTTTTTTGCAGCTGTGGTTAATTTTAAAACTAGCCATAAAAGCCACACGCAGCGACGGCAGCAGCAGCGCCGCTTGGCTTCTGTCGCCAATACAATTTACCAGCCAGTTCTTCTGTGCTCTCACGCGCTCTCTCTCTCACACTCGCTCTCTCTTAATCTCTTTGTTGTGCTGCAGCCGTCTGACTCTCTTGTGTGCGGGTCTGCGTGTTTTTTTTTGTTTTTATTTGCGCTCTCCTGTCTTTAGTCTGTCTGCTTGCCAAGTCGCGTCGCTCTTCTGCGCCGCTCTGCACGATGTTCTGGTCGCCGCTTGTTGCTCGCCGCCTGCTGCCTGCTGCATTCTTTGCGCGGTCGTTAACATGCGCTGCCGTCAAACTGTGGAACATGTTTGCTCACTGCTCTTCTTCTAGTTGTTGTAGTTGCTGTTGTTATTGTCGGGTAGCGTCTGTTATTAGTTCTGTGTGCACGCGCGTGTGTGAGTGTGTTAATTGCGCGTCGCATTTTGTTTTGTTTTGTTTTGCTTTGCTTCGCTTGGCTTTGTGTGCGCTCTCTCTCTCTCTCGCTCGGTCACGTTCTCGTTCCGCTTGCTGAACCGCTTGGGCAGCTGTGTAAGCGCTTGTTGGCTGTTTGACGTTTCCCAATACTAGGCTGAGCGCGCTTTTTGGATATTTGAATTGTAACGGTGCGTATGATTGATGTTAAATAAATAATGAAGTCAAATATGTAAAATGCTGAGTTTTAGAATTTCCCCGTTGATAATTAAATTTGGCAATTTGCATATCAAATTATTTAATTTAAATTTGAGCATATTCAATGATTAAATTTATTCTCTGCAGTTTAGCAGCACTTTGAGTATATTCGACCTGACTTGCTTTCGTTCTTTCTAGCTGACGTGCCGCACGAAATTTAATACCGTTGCTGACAGCTCATCCACGTATTAAAAAATGCATTACAATTATTTATACATAAATCATGGGCCGATTAATAAATAAAAATCACAGTTCATTTCCGTCGACAGCGAAAAGGCAAACAAATAAACAGACAAACAAACAAACAAACAGAGTGTGGTAAAAAAATAAATGCCAAAAATGTATAAATAAATCATAACTGAAAAACCATCATTCCAGCATTGCTGTCTGTTAAGCAAATATTCATAAATTATACAAAAATAAACTCCAAAGTCAGCGAGCATCGAAAAAAAGACACAGCTGCAGAGGCCAGTAAATAATATTTTAAAAAAATGAGATAAAAAAACTTGTGCAGGGTTTTCAACTAACCGCTGCATGTGCATAATTTATAAAGCTAATTAAACGCGCATTTAACTAATTAAAAATATAGCGTGCTTCAATTATTGAAATATGCTGCAGCAGCAACTGCATGCAGCTGCCCTTTGGCCAATTATGATGATGATGTGCTGCGAACCGGCCATACATATACGTACATACATATATTTACAAATTTGTAATTAAAATGGAATAATTTTTCGCAATGCATTTCCAATATCGAATGCCGAGCGTGGCGTGGCGTATGCGCAATGCTAATCAAAGTGTATATTACGTATACGACAGCGTGACACATGCTGGAATATTGAGGAGTGGCGTGGCAGGGTGTGCGAGTGTGAGTGTGAGTGTGAGTATGTGTCAGGTGAACAGCTAATTTGGGCTATTGTCGATTTTTTGGCTTTTAGCAGGCAAATACTAATTGACATTTTGCTATGAACGGCACAACAGGCGCGTCGGCAGCGAAGTGCGGAAGAACGGAAGGGAAGCGGAAGGCAGCGGCGGGGGCGGACGGAAAGTAAGCTAACAGTAAATGCAATGCAAAAACAGTTTCAATTAAGCAATTAGCGCCATTGAAACAAATCCAACACGTTTTGTGGCTTATAAACTGAAGCATCATGTCGACTTTGGTTAGCCAAAGCGCCGCCCGCTGCCCCCAGCGGCTTTGGCTGCTTTGTGGGTTATTCTCTGTTTAGTTATTGGCCTGTTACGTGTATTAGCATTGGCAATGCAATAACAAACTTGATTTTAGTTACTGTTGCTAATTCGCTTTGCCTTTCTGTTGGTTTTCGCTGGCTTTTTTGGGTCTGGGGTTTTTATTCATTTAGCATATTTTTGCGAAATTTGCGTGCGATCCAATAAATCGAAAATAACAAATAATATTAGCATGCGTATAATATAATTCTGTATACATACGCACGCACACATTTACGATTTATCTACTTATGAATAAGCGGCTTAAATTTGTTGCACGCCGCGAAAAACATTTCATAGCCAAGTGGGAAATGTATTGACGTCAAAGCTGCTTAAGGCTAAGCGCGGGGCTTGGGCAAGTGAAAGTCACATTTAATTCCCAACTGACAACGCCATAATGATGTTGCTTATGATGATGATGATGCTGCTGCTGCGGCTGCATTGCCATTACAATTTACGCTTTATTAATTACTTGCAAATTTAATCAATGCCTAATTTAATTAACATTTCGCAGCTTTATTTGCCAGCCACTCAGACATTGTATTGAAGTGCGGGCGGTGTGCGGATGGGCGACGTATGGAAAAGTTTAACGACTTTTTTTTTTG